GTCCTAGGGGTGACCTCCCGAGGGGGCGGCGCGAGGTCGCCCGCGGCGTTTTGGAGACAGGCTGGCGCTCTCCTCCTGCGGTCGCTCCTTCCAGCGCTTCGCCAGCCGGCCCTCTCCGCTCGTCGTCCCGAAGCCCTGCGAGCGTTTTCTTGCGTGTTTTCTTTCTCTTGCTCGCTCTGTTCGCCGTCTCTGACGTCAAACCCGTCCGTTTGCAAGGACCTTGCCCCTCTCGCCGTCCGTACGGTCTGTTTTGAGGTTTTATCTGCTGTATATGGCAGTGCGTTTGGGGGTTTCTGCCTACGTTGGTTCGTTATTATGGGCTTCATAATGTTTTAGGGTGGTGTGAGGTGCTTTGCTTTTTTTTTTGTAAAGGGTTATTTTGCAAGAACTGGAAGTAAACACGTAATTGGTTATGTATGCTATTGTAGCAACTGCTCTGCTTCTGCTCTTGATGATATCGGTAAGCGGCAGCGCTAGATATGAGCCATGCCAGCAAAGAGCAGGTACGGCTGCGCGCGGGCTTTCACGTCTGCAGGGAGGTTCACTTTGGGCCTTGTAACCCTGCAAAACTGGCAACGCTAGCGGGCACGTTGGTCAGCCGTACCGCAGCTCCCCTGTTCCTCGCAGAGCTTGTAGTCCAGCGGCGTGGCACAGCTACGCCGCGGGTGGGGTTGGAGCTAAGGCTTTTTGCTTCAGGCCCGACAAAAGCTGTGCACTGTAAAACTGTGGTGGTGCTGTGCCCCGTGAAATGGTCTACTCGGCCCAAACTCCACGCAGGGATGGAGAGGCAAAGGACTCGTGTCATGAGGCCCTTTTTCTTCCCTCCTGCTTATTGCCCTCTGCACCTGACCCGAGGATGCTGAGTACAGCCATCTCCAGTGGCCACCACGTCTGTCGTGTCATCTCGCGCTGTGTTTTGTCCCCCAAGAAAGTCGACTGATCTATTTTTTTTTAAGTGCCTTCAGGAAGCTGAGGCACCAGAAAAGTGAGGCGTGAGTTACATTCCTGAGCAGTAACATGAGGCTAACTGATTTTGGTGGTGTTACGCTGGGGATGCTTGTCCTTTTGACTCCAGGTTTAAATTCCCTAAAACTAGTTTTGTGGGTTTGTGGGGCTTTTTAACATTCTTCTGAGCTAGCCTCTGACAAAAACAACTCGACAGACAGACAGAACTATCGATAAGCTTTAGGGAGAGTGTGTATTCAGAGTAAGAGGGGAGAAACTCATCTGAAAACAGTGGCTTATGAGTTGTCCGTTTCTGCTAACGGACCAGTTATATTCCCTAACGCTTTGCTCTGTTTCCGAGTCTTCTGTATTACTGAGTATGGACCAGCTCCTAACATAGCTGAATTAACAGTAGTTTTCATTACCAATAGTGAGAGGATTTGCTTTTAATGGAGACTTTGAAAAATCCTTACATTACTCACTTATAGTATGGCCTTGGAAGAAAACTGGTTAAAGGAGAAATAAAAGTGCAGTGCGCTGTTGCTGAAAAGATGTCAAGCCTCCTTTTTATGAAGAAATAGTTATCTCTGTCTGTTCTCCACAGCTGGGGGAGAGGACTCCTTCTCAGTAGGACTCCTCGTATGACTGGCACCTCATTTTGGTGGATGATGAAACCTGCAAGGAAACACTAACTTGCCTACAAAAGGGACTAGCGTTTTGAAGGTAGAAGAACAGGAACCTTCCAGTGACTGGTACAGACCATCTCGTAGAACAAATGGAGGGAAGCTAATAACACATGAGCTGTTACCTCTCTTCCAAAGAGAGATTCAGCTGAAGGGGCTTACAGAGCTGTGCGACTCTAATCTGAGCCTTTAGGTTTAAGTATTTATTGTTTGCGTTTAAATGTGTTGTAGGAGCAGTGACCAGGCATCAAAACTATGTCCAGCCTGTCTGAAGCAGCCTTTTCCCCGGAAACAAGGATCCTTTACGCTGATGACAAGAGAAGGCATTGGTAAGAGGAATTAGTATAAATGAATTATATACTGCTGAAGACAGTTTGATTGCCTTGTCCCAGCCTTTCTTTAGGTCCTCTTCCCCGGTCATGTGAGTCTACTGTTGTGCCTCTTCACCAGGGAAGCACTAAGATGCAAGACCTGCCTTGCCCAGAATGGTGCAGTGAGCTCATGACTGGCTGAAACATACCTTGTGAGGGGGTGATAGTTTTTTTCCTTTTTCTTGCACAACCATATTAATTTCAGATAGTCCATGTCAGGTGTTGCTAAATGCAGACTCTATTCACCTCGGAAGTCACCTGAGGAGGAAGCTCAATGCAGGAGCGATGCCTGGCATTGTTTCGGTATAGGTAAATCCTGATCAGGAGGATGTGCTGCTGGCAAGCATTCTTGGTGTAACTTCCTTAGCTATGTCACAGGCAGCCCCTTGCTCCTTTGCCACCCTCGGTGTCAGAGTGTGTCTCATCTCTAGGCAGGTGGGAATTCACCTGATAAAGTGCTGATAAGAATCCTGACCTTCAAAGCATGTGTGGAGATGTGGTACACACTGAGCATCTCAGTGTAGAGGATGGTGATGACCTCAGCTGGTAGAAGAGGCTCTCCTGAAGTTCTCTGGCCACAGTGGCGAGTGGCTGACTGAGCAGTTGGGGGCCTCATGAGGTAAACTTCCCTAATGCAGCTCAGACAAGGGGAGAAGTAGTGACACGTTGCCTCTTGCTCAGAGGAGAGGATGTGCGAATAGGGCCCGTCTGAGCTCAAAGAAAGGGAAGAGGCAAGCCCCAAAAGGGGACTCTACCAAGATCCCTCTAAGTCCTGGTAAAGGAGGAGCCTGAGCTTAGGCAGCAAGGAAGGACAGAAGTGCTCTGACAATAAAAACTCTGCTGTGACTCAGCCTAGCAGTGTCCCCTTTGTCCCAGCAGGTAGAATTTGAGGCAAGGTGTGTGGGGGGGGAAAATGTTCATGAACTTTTAGGGTTGGATACATCTGCCTTTCCCAGGCCCATCCTGTCTGTAAAAACAAAGTTCTTGAACTGACATGCTAGAGTAGACATGGGGCTTGCTGACTGCTATTGACTTTAGGTTGGTGATCTATGGCTAATGCTTGCAGGCTGCTTAGTTAATGAGTCATGGGTGCTCAGGTGTGGCTTAGTCTTCTGAAAACTGTAGTGCACTGAACTCTGCCCAGGCCTCTCCCAAAGTACTGAATCAGCAGGACCCCGAATAGCCTGGCGTACTTAATTTACACCAACTGTTGCAGAATGGAGCCAGTTAGAGAAGGGCTAACCTTGTTTCCAGGAGGTATTGCAGCATTACAGCCTTAAATGGGACTATCCGCTTTGCGGTACTGTTTTGCACTGGTCACCACTGAAAAGTACTTTGTCCAGGGCATGTCTACACAACAGTAAATGCCACTCATGTAGACGTAGCTAGCTCAACTGCTAGTAGAGCTGTGGACTATTTGTGTAAGCTCCAAAATGACAACTAAAAAAAAACCCCACCTTCTATAAGATGCCATACCTAGAGAACTAATGTTTAATGGTACTTGGCACATTACCCACAGGGTGAATTTAACAGAGCATTCAGAACATTGTGCTTAAGCCTTTGGCTAACGAGGTTCAGTGAGTGTGTTTTGCTGAAGTTAGGTATGGTTTGGGGAGGGCCCTGTGTGAAGGGAAGGGAAGAGAGAATAAACAGTAAGTTCAGCGTGTCCAATATGAAGGTGCGTTTGCTCTTTTGGTAACACAAGTGCTAGGTGCTGTTCAGACCAGTGAGACTGGGCTTGCTTTGAAGAGCTCGCAATCAAAGTTAAGATGTGGCTGTTGGACAACTCTGATTCTTCTCTGAGGGAGAAGAGGAAAAAAGGTAATGAAAGTTTTGCTGAACACTGCTATTGAGAGGGGAAGAACAGGACTTACTAGCATACAGACAGTAGTGGTTTTCTTTCTTTTTGCGGGAAAAGAAAAGTGAAATCTGAAAGAAAGGAAGAAGTTGTACGGGATCTGACAAAGAATGAATTGTTTACGTCTGCTGTGGAAGAAGGCACGTATTTGATATGGCGTGTGTGTTTTCACTGCATAGCATGTAGAGAAATTCAGTGAGGGACATGCGTATTAATTCCATAGCTTTATTGTGTTTTAGCGTGGAGATTTAATCTTGTTTAAGCCAGGGATCTTAGCAGGGCTCAGTGAGAATCCCGAATGAAGACTCATTTGGTCAAGATGTGGCAGTTTTTAAATACAATTCCACTTAAGGGATGGGAGGAGACAACAGTTACTCTAGATTCTCTTTAGCGTGCCCTTAACCGTGCCATGTTTAGGGTGTTGTTGTACCTCTATGTTTCTAGATGGACTAGATGATTCTGACGGATAGACGCAGCTGTCCAGCAGATCTTAGTAACGCAATAACCTGAACTGCTTTGTGAATCTTCCCTGTTGTTTCTGAGAGCTTCTGTCCTTTTTCAGAACACAGGAAGGTTTATGGAAAGAAGCTAAGAGTACATCTGGCTTCAGCGTGCAACACGATCCTGGGGCTACAAAACTCCTGCTGCTTTTTCACTTCTGTCACCTGCACTAAGCCCAAGGTACCCTGTTACCCCAACAGCCATGTCCTCCTGAGCTGAGTGGGTAGCTGGAAATCTCCGGGTTTAGGAATGCAGCTGTCCTACAGGTAGAAATACAGACTAACCTCAGACTGGGACTCTATCATCTTCACAGTCAGTCATTCTGTTTTTTATCCACCTTGTGCAATTTTTGCCCATCTTTCTTGTCTTTTACAGAAAAGAATCACTGGTATTGTCTCTTCTCTTTTCCCTTGGTTCTGCTTTTCATTTCAGACAGCCTGTGACTCACTGCAAAGGTATTGTCCTGTTTCCTTATTAGCTGTGAGGTTGGCCTGCAGGAGTGGTGGCAGTGTGTGAGGTGGAGTCACGGCTATATCGGGGAAGCCGGAACTGTCTGGGTTTGCGGTGAGTCTGAGCTATGAGGCAGGTGTCTGCACCTCCCTGGCGTTTGTGCTCAGCCTGCGGCAGTGTATCAGACCTAGCGGCAGAAAACCGAAGTCGGTAGGCAGCTCCGATGGACTTCGGGTACTAGTGTCAGCTGGATCATCTACTACAAAACAGTAAGAAACTGGTAAATCTCTTTCCTATGTAGGCTCCTGTCAATACATGTCTCATAAGTGAAGTTTCTGTTATATGATTAATTAAAAAAAAAGTAAACAGGAGTTGTTGAGCAGTTTGTTTTGTACTCGGGGGATTAGGATGCTATAGGGAGTTTGGAGACAGGAGGAAGAAAGTGAGGGGAAAGATGTGATACTAATACTGCTTCATAAGCTCTGCCAAGAGTCATAGCCTAATACCGTTTCCTTATTGACCTGGTGGCAAATCCCAGGAGCTGAAATGGAAGATGGGATAATGCAACACTGGTGTGTAAAATTCCGGAGAGACTAACCCAAAATTCAGGGTCTGCAAATCCTTGGACTCAAGTCAAAGTGAGACTTTATCAAATGCATTCTTATCTTAGAAAGGGAAACCTTGACTGTAAGGTTGCAAGTCAGGAAAGCTGACTGTATCTGGAGAACAAGACACTTCCTCTTCTACCTGGAGGTTTGTACAGGAAAGCAAGCAGCTGCTTTGGGAGAAAGAAGAGGCTCTATTCTTACTCTGCAACCTCCCCTTAATGTTACCACTTTAAAATGATTCTTCTGTGAGACACCAGTTCATCCTGTTAAGGATAACAGGCTCAGCTAGACGTTACTTCTGAGCCTATGGGGTAGAAGTGGATTTAGATTGGTCGGAACAGCTTGTGTAAAGGAAATTGGGCATCCTGCTAGTTTGGAAGTTAGCTTTGCTTTAAGCAGGAGGTTGGACTAGCTGATATCCAGGAGTCTCTTCTAACCTAAATCTAAGTCTGACAATTGTCATTTGATCTTTTCCATTGTGTAAGTTTTCTCCTACACGCTTCCAAGATGAAACTAGACTTTTCAGCTTTGTTTTGCCTTAAAATAGGAAGTACATGAAGCCTTCAGAGATGGAGGATTTGTTTGCATCAGGCTTCCAGCACAAATTGTTTAAATCTTTAGAAAAACTTTGTCTAATTTTTCAGGCGCTATCTCAGGGCTAGTGGCTAGAGCGGTCACAGCTTAAATTCCCTTTCTGACAACAGGAGGATGACACAACGCTGGGAGTAAACTTGAAACAAGCATGCTTGATTAAATGAAGCCTATGGTATTTTGCATTTCGGTGATGACAAAATGATTGCTGCCAACCTTACCTGACAGGACTTTTTACCTTTCTTGGAATGCAGCCTTAGCAGGAACATATTTCTGTCCTCCACACCCACCAGCTTGTTGCCTTATAGAAGTGACGTCTTTATAGGCTAATTCTTCCTACTGTTATGTGATCCACCAAGCAACTTCTTCCTGTTGGGCTGTCACCCGTATGATAACAGCAAGATTAAGCACAAGCTTGCATCCAGCCACCTAAATAACCTGGTACTGAACTGGTGTGAATTAGTGTGGTTAGTGCCGACTGGGTTGCCTCTCTCCAGGACGAGCCCCCTCGCAGCCCATGTGAAGCAAAATGGGTCTTTGTTCATCCTGCACCTCTTCTGTTAGTTTTCCTTTTAGGGAGTAAGGTGTCTTTTGGGGATGAACTCTTAGCCCTTAACTGGCAAACTCAGCTAAATGTTTGTGACCCTTTAATCTTTCACTGACACCTGTAGCCTTTGAGTTGTGCTTGGGGATGCTCACGTGCGATATGCTGTCGCTACTGTTGTTTTCAGTCAAATTCCCTAAGGTAGAATGCTTTCCATAAATGCACGATCATAGTAAATTTGCCAGGTACTCAGCCTAAAGAGAGGAGAAAAGGATTGTCTGTTAGACAAGCTGCTGAACTGGAAAAGTTGCTCCGTTGATTACAACCAGCACCTTTGTACAGATCTCTCCCAACTCTAAACTAGTCAGATTGCTCGTTTTTTGCTTTTAGACTTCAAAACTGTGCCTGAGTCAGCCTCCCCAAGATATACAGCTTCTGACTGACTGGAAATAAAAGAGCAAACTTGAGCTGGACAGTTTTCTTGGGTATTGCAAACGCTTGCTTTTCCTGTAGCCGCAGCAGGGAATAATCGGTTAAATGGTCCCGGATCTCTGCAGAGAAGGTGCTTTTTCTTCTATCCCTTAGCTTTTGCTGCATAGCTTTCAAAACTGATTTTCTAAAGCTTAAAGGATCTGTGATTGACTGCCAGCTTGCTTGGGTTCCACGTGGTGGTAAATCTCAACCACTTCAGTGGAGGAGATGTATGGATTTCCCATTTGCGGAAAAAATTCAGCCGTCCCAGACTCACGTCACTACAAACTGAGCTACATCTTGTGTGTTCTTTTCAGGTGCATCTAGAGGACGGAGTGGAGAGGGGATGCTGCTACATAGTTGCCTGTGATGGAATTTCGTTTATCGTAATGCCGCAGAGGTCTTCATCCATATTAAGGAAAGGTGATGTTTCTCTAAGATGATTCTGCAGTGATTTGAGAGAAGTAATATCTTGCCTCTTGCAGTCCAGTTATTAATGTTAGTGCAGAATAAACTCTTTGGGGGTAGGGATGCTTTCTTCTGCTATGTCGTTCTACTGTGCCTAGCACAGCACTGCTCATTCAGTTGACACCTTAGACTGTACTGTAAAGCAACAAAATGAACTGCTTGTCTGCACTAACTTTAAAAATTGTCTGGATTTATAGAACGTTAGTCTGGAAGGGTGTTTTTTCTGTCCAGTAGTCTCCTTTCTTTCCTATTCCCCACTCTTCGATCTCATGTGTATATGGTGATGTGCACATAGGCTTGTGCTGTCCTACAGATTGTTATGGGTCTGCCCTTGTGAACCCAGTACCTAGAAGATGAAACACTTTCAGCTTCAGGCATAGTTGATTTCAGTGGGGGCAAGGAGAAATGTGTGAGGGTGTTGCCCATGCATTACTGTCCTTCCTTTGTGCATTGTCAAAAACCTTACTATGTCTTGGTAACAGTGAGACCAAAACCCCAAGCGAAGATCCCTGGCTGCCAGGAGCAGGACTCCAGCTGGTTAGAGCGGACTGAGACATTTAATTGTCTAAGATGTGGCCCTTGCAGCTCAATGCTTGAATAGATTAGTGTGGAAAAGCTGAGTGGTACTGATGTGGCAGTCTGCACTCCCTCCTTTCAGCTTTGGGTGTTGCGTGCACACTTCTGTGGGCTCCCCATCCTGTGAGGCGTGAATACAAGGGTGTTTTTGCTGCCTCATGCTCTCCCAGAGCACTGGACAGTCTCAGATGGATGATTTGTGTTCTCCTTTCCTAAAGCACTAGGAATTCTTAGGAGTAACAAGCAGCAGAGGGGAGCTAAATATGATAAGGAAAACTAAAAGCAAGATCATTGTCTTCCTGCGTACATATGAGGTGGTTCCCCAGAGCATCTTCTGTCCGGCCTTGTTGTGCTTAATTTTCAGTTGCTTAAGGAAGAGTTTTACAGTTCTCTGAACAGGTGATTCTGCAGTCTCATAGGTCTCTTGAGGGATGAGAGATGAGGTGTCTTCCTCTTCTGCACCTGATTGCTTTGCTCTTCTGCAGCTGTTTGTCCCTGACCTGTTAATTGCCTTTGAGATAGTCTGGTTTGTTCTGATCCTGATGGGAAATACTGGAGGGATGATTAGGTTATTGTTTAAACAAGACAGCTAATTCCAGAGCGGGACACATTTTCAGGGCATGGAGGTAGGGACTGTTGTCAAGTCTTGATTTTGATTTTTTTTTTTTAGCCTGCTTGCTTTTTTCCTCGAGGTGAAAAGGGTACAATTAAGGGATTTTATAATTAACTGTGGCTATCTCATGGGTTACAGGGAATGGAGCCCTCTTTCTGTTACCGCAATGCATGGTGGGTGTCCTTGTGTTCTCTGCTGCTCTGGTTTGTTTGGCATGTAGTTGCATCCGTTTCACCTTGTCAGCCTCCTCTAATTTTATATGAAGGGCAGGAGCATTTCCCGTTGCCTGTGCTGCCATCTTGCACAATAGAAACGGCAGAGCTTCATCTCATGACTCTTGCAATAAACCAAACGATGTCTTGGGTTGCTATATACCTTTTAGGAAAACTTTCTCCCAAATGCTGGCAGTCTATCTCACATCTCCATGATCCATTCTGAAGGCTCAGCGTTAGTCAGGAGTTTGGGGCTTCTGATGTCTGCTTTTCAGTTTGAGTTTTTCTGATTCTTGCCTTTCGGTTGGTGCTTATAGCTTTCTCTGTGAGATGGCAGATTTCTGTGGTACTTGTTGGAAGATGAGACGTGGTTTTACTGTAAGCAAAATAGAATGGTTAGCAAGATGGAAAGAGTTGAGAGTGTCTAAATTCTTTCTTGCTCTCAAACACAAACCCATCTTGTGTGCATTTGCAACCTGATGTGTTAGGAAGGGGAATAGAATGCTTAAATATCTCAAAATATGTTTATGTGATTTCTTCCAGTGATCCACTGGCAATACTAGAGGCAGCTGAAATCTTGAGAAAAGCCAAAATGAGCTCCTAGTTGTGTAGTGTGCTTCACCGTGTTGCACCGGAGGCCGTAGGAGTAATAACCTGCCTTTGAAGCTGTGATGCAAGAGTGAAGGAATGGCTTTGCCCTGAAGGTTGCCTTCTCATGTGTTCATGTATTTCCAGGAACAGAGGGTTTTAGGAACACTAGATAACACTGCATATCTTGTATATCTTAGGCTGTTTCATCCCATTCTGCATGTGTAATAAGACAGTCAAGTGGCTTTAGTGCAAATAAGTATTGGTTCCCTTTTTTGTTTGTTTTGCAGATGACTGTTTCCAATAAGTTCTCCTTCTAACACCATGCTTGACTTAAGAGAAAAGCTGCGCAGTCAAGCGAACCCACCAAAAGTTTGAATACTCTTGTGTCTTAAGCTACTAAGCATCTGGAAATGTTTTATTGTTCCACAATCTTGCCTAAATGAGGTTGTTTGAAACTTGGGAACTAACCGAGATAAATACAGATTGCAGACAAGTAAGCTGGGTTTATCTTGTTAATGTTTGTAGTGCCTAGAGGCCTTAAGCAAGACTGGGGTGAAGAACAGGATATCTGTCAATTTACAATTTTGAGCCTCTTCTCCCTTGAACTGTTTTCTTTTGTACTACTGCAGTGGCTTCGTTGACTCTTTATTTGTCCCCGGACTCTTGCCTTCTGTGGATGAGAAGAAAGGTCACTGAACAGCCCACGGTAACTTCTCTCCTTGTGTGATGCCAGCTGTGAGTGTTTCTTTGGCAGTGTCTTAGCTGGTTGTTGTGAGCAATAGTCGAAGAAGCAATCAGCAAGTATACTGCCCTAGAAGTGCTACACGTTGTTGGGCCTACCTCATATCTCCCTGGCTTGAGAGCTGGATGTGGATCCAGGTTGGGATGCTGCCCAGGCGTTCTGTGTTGCACTGGAGCTTGGGGTGTTTGTGATGGAGCAGAGGGCTTATGTGAAAAATGCCACAGGATGCCAGATGATGCAGTCACTGCATGAGAGACAGAGGATGAAGAAAAGAGAAGATAAATGTGTTGCAAGTTGCTCTGCTCTTTGTTTGTTCTCCACACGCACAGCTTCCTGAAAGTAAAATTTCAGCTATTGTTAGTAATGCTGCAAAAATGTGGCAGTGAGTACTGGGAGAAGGGTCTCCCTTTAGGAAGGATTTATTTGAGCTTTGACCTCAGGTTGGTAATGACAAACTGCCTTGGCTCTGAACTGGTGTGTGACCCATTTGTAATCACTGTTTCTTCTGGGTGCTGGTCAGCAGCTGTGCAGGATGCAAAGCACAGCCTTGGAGTTCCCAGCTCGGCTGCTTCCCTGATTGAAGCTGTTCCACTGCAAGGGCATTTGAGTCAGAGCGGTGTGAATCCTGATGCACAAGTATAGATGCAGGAGGGAGCAGAGACCTTATGGGGTTGTCCTGTGCCTTGCTTGATATTTTGAACTGCATTCCACGAGTGCAAGATGGACAGCCATGGGCACGTCTGAGTTGCTCCCTGTTTCTATCCTGTAGGGAGTCTGTGGTATTGAAGTGTCCCCAGCTGATGTGCTGCAGGCACATTCAGTCATGTGCCTAAAAACTTAGTTGATCTTTCTAGGGGAGAACTAATTAGATTTTAATGATGCAGTGAAACATATTACTCATTACCTTGTCTGGATAAGAGGGAGATGAGGACTTATTGAAAGGCAAGTCTAGGATAAGGACTGAGTATTTGTGAAGGAGGAAATGTAAGAGCACCCCAGCCTTGGGAGGGTGAAAGGCCTTGCCTAAGTCTTATTTAAGCTTCCAGTACCCACACAGAGGATAATAAGAGCTTACTTTGGTTTTGATTGAGTCAAGCTGTTTTTATGCCTCGTTCTCTGTGGCCCCACTGACTGGGCATCAACTGGCTGTTGTGGTCCAGGGATTTCACGCTCCTGTAAAACACTAGCTATGACTTTGTGCACACTTCTGTAAGCCCTTTTTTTTCTTTTTCAAAGGTGGACATAATTGCATTAGTCCAAGTTACAGGGAGCTGTGAAATACAAAGGATTGTCTATAAAATGTCTGTTTTCAGCAGGTAATGGATGGCTGGAAGGGAGCAGAGTCTCCTTCTGTTGCAACTCTTCTGAAACTTCATTTCTGTCTTTGCATGGTGTTTTGAGCTGGTACATCAGCTTTCCTCAAACTAGTCATTTTTTATGACCTTTTTAAAGGATTATTCCTGTTTTTTAGAGCAAAGGTAAGCATTGGTCTCAATTTTTTGGGAGGGAGAAATGTGGTGTATTTTTACTTTCTAATTTAGCAGCATTATAGGTAATATGAATGGCTAAAAACCATTGCATTGAGCATATGCCTCTCTGTAGCGCTTGCCTCCTGAGTAACTGCCCTTCGTAGTGCCCTTTCACAAAGCGCCACCGCTCCATACTTCTGTCGAGCGGGGTGTTGGCTGAAAGGAACCGATGCAACGTCTGGATCACGCCCGAGGTGACAGCCGAACACTCGGGGCTCGACCCATCTTGCTTGCCCTGCAATTTCTGAGCAGCTTCACCTGCGTTAATAAAGTCAGCGGCTTTGAATTCCAAGTATATAAAGTAATGTTCTCTCCAAGCTTCCTGCACCTAACTTTGGTGTAGTTGTAGTTAAACCAGGGAGGTTGGCAGAGACTGTTTCTGAAAATAAATGAGCATTGTATTTCAGAGTTGGGTTAAATCTGCTCCTCTTCCCCGGAGAAGATACGGCTACTGCAAACAGCACTGAAGACCAAGCAGTGTTGGAGCTCTGGGGCAAGGCCATGGCTGAGCCCCTTGGCTGGATGAATGGGAGCAGTTGTGCACTGGTCTGTTGGTGGCTGAGCACCCACATATGAGGGCAGAGCCTGTAATTGTTTAATGCAAGCATTTTATGTCTACTTTTGCTAAAGGAGAGCAAGGGGAATGATTTGGTGTTTTACTGCACGGTTCTGAGACTATCTTTGGCTTCTGGGCTGTGGATGTTGAGCACAGAGCGAGTGTCCTCGAGTCAGTGAAAAAAGCAGTCTCCTGGGCTCTGTTGAACAGCTTCCCATTAGCAAAATTGTCTGTTTGCTGCTTTGCGCCTCATCTGTGTGAAATAACTTGCATGAGTGAGGTTTCCTGCTTTGTAGCTAGGAAAGTTGACATGCTTCATGCCTCTTCCTACACCAGTGGTCTCATTAGCTTTGATATCCCTGTCTCATCTGTGTCAAAGCCGCAGACTCTAGGCAGAGCTTTATGCTGCAAAGTATGCTGTACAGCTCCAATTCCATTTTCAGTAAAAGCTACCTCAAAAAAATTACTTTGGCCTATTTTCCTACTGCTGAACATAAGAGACGCATATGCTTGTCTAAGAAGACCACGTCTTAAATGTGATGTTTTTATTCACTGCATATTTTAAGTTTCACTGTTAATGAACAATTTCAATACCTTTATTTTTCTCCCTGCAACCACAGCATGCAGGCATATCCCTTATTAATCTCCTAATTTAAATTTGAAGAGGAAAACTATCACAGTACTGGGAGCACACTCTAATTCATTGATTGTGCTGGCTTGACTCCAACAGTGTAACTAACTCTGCTCTGCCTGCATAAAATTCCCCTTGTAGCTGGTGGCTTTTTTTTTTTGTCAGTTGCTGGCTTGAATTCTGGTGCGGTCTCTGCAGCCTGACTATGCATTTTTGATGCTAATGGAAAACTCCTTAAAATGATGAAGTACCTCTCCTTTGTGGAAGGAAAGGCACCGGGCTCACTAATCGGACCCAGCATAGTGCTCTGCCAATAGTTATGTCCTGTTTCTGCAACCGTGCACGCTCCTCTCTGTTGTGCTTCCAGTGTACTGGAGATGGGATAAGAAGGGCTTCATAATGCCCAGACCCAGCTTGATCCAGCAGCCGTGTGCATGGTCGTGCTTGCACCGCGGCTAACCTAGGTTGGAGTAGCTGCTCATGCTACCAAGTCAGTACTCGGACACTGAAAACAGACCTGCCTGCTTTGGGGAGGTATCTTGCTAAGGTGTTATTGAACAGCAGAGGGATGGGAGGCAGGAGAATGGGGGAATTAATCCAGAAGTAGCAGCAGCAGGAGGGAAAAAAAAATAAATCAGTTTTGGGACTTGCATAATCGAGACAAAGTAAGAATTCATTTGGCATTTGTTAATTCTGGGAGTCCTAGAATAAATTGAAACTATCTATGGTGGTGCTTTCTAATTATTGTAAAAGCGTAAGGGGAGCTTCTGTAGTATTTTACTCGCAGCTTTTCTTGTGTGAGCCCTCTCTTTCCTGGTGGAGAGCAAGGGCTGCTGGTATTAGCTTTCCTTCGTGGAAAAGAGGATTAAACTGAAACAACAGGTGGCTGTTGAGTGCTGCGGGAGTCCCTGGCGCTCAGCGAGGATCGCGTGCTTCTGCACCCCAGGCCTCCCTTCGCTGAGCTTAGTGAAGTACTACCAGCGACACGCGTGTGCGTGCCTTAGCAGGTACGTGTGTGAGGGGCAGTGGTTTCATTTATTAGCTCCTCCAGCCTAGCGTCTGCTAGCTGCCTGTTCCAGGGGTTCTCCGTGTTAAGCTTATTCCTTCCAACAAGATCACCTGCTGTGGCTGCTGCACGCTCAGGTCTCCTGCAGACCTCCAGACAGATAGGGCTGTGTGAATGAAAGATGCTGTTTCAGTGCATTTTGCCTCTAGGCACCTTCTTTATTTCTCCCCTTCTGCAAGGGATGCAGATGGAGATGCAGATTTGGCAAGAAGACTTTTCCACTCATTGCTGCCAGCCATGAAACAAACTTCTTATGATTTTTCCCACTCGAGGAGTGGGGGGAAAAAATACATCTCCTTTCCAGCTCCAAATTACCATGGTGGGCTTCATTTATGTTTCCTTGTATTGCAGTTCTGCTTCCAAATGTCTCTCGCTGTATGCAACACAGCCTCCTGCTGTGCCAAACTTCCAGCATGACCCTTTGCATCTGACTGTCAGATTCCTCCCGGTGGACTTGGTAGCACCTAGCTGTACTTCTTGCAGAGCTGTCTTGACCCCAGTGTTTGCCAAATAAAACCTTTCAGACCTTTGAAAACCGTTTCTCTGAAAACAAACGCCACAGGAGCTGGCTGCAGGGTCTGCACCTATGTATCCGACTGCCTCCTTGCCAAGTGTTCTCGATAGAATATGTAGGGAATGTGTTTCCTGACTTTTTAGAAGTCTTACAGACTTTTTGCTTGATGTACTTCTGAATCTCCTACCTGCAGAAGCTGTTGTCTGGAAGGGACGGTTACTGAGAAATCGCTCAAGAGGCTGTCCGTGATCCTCCTGGAGCTTCTCGAGTGGTCCTGGAAGTCTCTGGTCACCCTGCACGGAAGGCTGTTGTTTGTATTGGTCCCAAAGGAATAGATGAGGTTAATAAAGTCAAGGATTCGGGCCTTAGCCTGAGCTGGGGTTGCTGTAGAAGTGGACATTTTTAGTCATATACTAGAAAAAGTAACAGTGGACAATCATAGGCACTTGCCCCTCTCTCAGAAGCCTCCTCTTAACCGTACCTCCCCGGCTTCCTTTCAGTTGGTGCAGTGAGCCCAAGGATCAGGTGGTGGCTCAGAAAAATAGTGTGATTCTCCTGGAAACCAAGAGATCAGTGGCTCAGTGGAGATCACTGGTAAAACTGTTGGCTGTTTTTTTGTCTTCTGTGCGTGTGCATGGTTTTTTGTGTATGTGTGTGTGATCTCGGAGTTGGGGATGATAATCCAGTTCAACTTTTGGCTAGACGTTGTAGTATGTGTATTGTATCTTGTACTGGAGTAGCCAGGCTATGCTAAAGATCTGTCAGTGGAAGGCTATGCATGATGCATGTAATCTTGTGCTCCTCTGAGGAAGAGAGTGGGAGCTGGGTGTCTTATTGCTCCCAGGCTGAGCCCTAAGAAGCTGGTGAGTACAAAAAAAGTTGCATTGACTTCCTTGACAGGAACTGCATGATAATAGACTTAAACATTAAAGGTTTTTTGCCCAAACTGAGCCTCTGCTGGCTGAGTTTTTGCTAGTTACTTCCATAGTATCTTATTTTTTCATGGATGCAGCTGTGTCGAGCTTTGCTTCTCTGTGAGCTCCTCATTGATGCTCCTGTTGTGTAAGCTGTGGGTGTGAGGCAAGGATAACGTGGGGGTGACCAAAGCGAGGCTATGGGTGCAGAGCAGTCGGCCTTCATCGGGCATGGGGAAGTGTCTCCTGCTAGATCGGGGAGACGCCGATAGGAAAACACTACTGCTTGGAACAGCAGTGACCTCTTGTGGGTAGTGAGGAGGGCTGGTGGAGCTGGAAGTTGGCACTCGGAGTCAGAGGATACTTATTCAGCCATACTTACGTTCACGGCCTTGAAGTGCATGTGGTAAAGGGAGCACGGACTCCACTGGCCGGATATCAGGAACACACCGCTGTAAAGGGTGCCAGCTCTTCTCTTCTGCGCGTGCATGTGCTCTGAAGCTGTGATGCGAAAACGTCCTCGTTGTTCAGGAGCAGCCCAGACTCTTGTCTCTCCCCTTGGAGAACCCAGAATTGGCCTTCCTGCACATCTCACATCCTGTGAGATGAATTAAAAGTCACGAAACAAGGTGAAATTCTCAAAGGAGAATTTTCATCCCGTGTGTTGCTACGCAGCAAGCTAGTCACTCAGATTTTACTTCTCCCTGCCCTGAGCTAAATAGATCACTGCCTTTGAGTTTGTCAGGTATTTTTAGGCAGTTTCCAAATATTTCCGTTCTCTGGGCAACTGCAGATTCCATGGGACTGAAGGTAGGAATGCATTTCTGGGCAGACACAGCTGCGCTGCTGCCCCGCTGTTGGAAAGCAGCAATATCAAGATTACAGGAATGCAGAAGACGGGCTGGGCAGCGGATGCCTCGCTCATGCAGATGTCAGAACGTGGAAGGTGGTGGGACTCTAGCGAGACGTCATCTGCCTTTTATTGCTCAGTTTTGAAGCAGTAACTCTTTGCACATGCCAGGCTGTTAAGTTATTTCTCTGTGTAAATTAACCCTATTTACATTTTCAGAAAATAGGGAGAGGGCCGGCAAAAGACGTTATGGCTGTCCTATCTATTTCTGAACTCTGAGGGTGAAGTACTTCTCTGAGCGAAATTGGACAAAAGAGTTTGAATTTCCACTAACTTATGCGTTGTGATTCAAATACTCTCTTTTATCCAGTTGTGAAAAAGTAGTTTAAGTTGGGTCATCAAAACACATGGAAATAAACGATTACCTTGTAAGACTAAGAATTAAGCTGTCTTGTTGGACCGCATCTGTCACCAAAAAAAAAAAAAACCCAACACCTGAAATCCAGGGTTGAAGATGAAGTGGTTTGTCTGGATGTTTGTGATAGGTGGGTGGATCTGTCTTGTTTCTTTATTTTTGTGCTGTGAAAGGGAAGGGTGGGAGGAAACAAAAGTAAAAAGCCAAGAATGTACAAGAGCAACCACTGGAAACACAGCCTTGACAAAGTTTTATCTTATATTTTTTGGGGTCAGATGGTGACTAAAAGGAGCCTGGACTAATGACTTAATGTCAGACCGTGTTCAGGGGAAATACGACTTGCTGCAAATTCCTTTTCCTATAAAGAACATACAGAGGGCACTGGGCTCCAAAATACATTTCTTCTAAGTGGGAAAGCATGCTAGACTGAAGTCTGGCTAAGTCTTAAAGGTCAAAAAGGTATGTAGAATTTTTTTTCAAGAGGAAATAATTTTAAAATAGAGCAAATGCCAGATGCATCAAGGTGACCAAGAGGGAACACGATAAGCCTGGATATAGCTGGAGACTTGGTAAAGAGAATTTGAGTAATTAAGAAAAGCTCTGAAGCTGCATCTAGCAACTTCTTGGAAGGCGTCGGTAGGACTTGCCCTCAGAGACGAACCTCTGGCGCAGAAGCAACGTGGTGTTTGGTCAGCGCAGGAAGGACAGCTCTAAGATGGTTTGTCGGGGGGGTGCTCTGCATGCTGCCTTGAGTGGATCCTTCCTTGCTGATAGCTGGGAAATGATTAAACTGTTTGATGGAACCAGATAGCTGGAACAATAGCGATCTACATGGGAAAATAAGCATATACTGGCATCCAAATCAAAGCTGGTTTCAGAGTTGTCTGCAGGGAAGCAAATGAAGTATCGGGCAAGGTAGCAGCAAACGAGGATGTGCTTTCAACTTGTAAGTTCCTCGGGAACAAGCACTTCCTTACCGACAGAAATAAAACCTGTTTGTTATGGTAGCAAATCCCGTGTCCTGTTTGCTCACCCTTTTCTGCTTCACAGGTTGCAAGATACCGCAAGAATCGGCGTTGCCGTCTTCCGGAATCGAGGAGGCGGGAGGTAAAGGTAACGCTGGCACCATCGTTTCGGGATGGTGCGTGGGTCGGGGATGCTGGCCTCCTCACCTTTGAGCCCTGGGTAGCTGAATGCATACGGTTCAAGCTGTGCCGTCGTGAGTGCTGTTAAGCACCTATACGTATTTGTCTCAGATAAGGGTGGCCGAGTCGTGCACTCCCCTTTGGGGAGGAAGGAGTCAACTCTGTCTTTTAAGAAACAGCAATAAAGCTCTTTTTTTTTCCCCTCGCTGAATGGGCTCCTTCTGTCAGATTACAGCAGGCGGTTGTGATTTTTTTTTTTATTTTTTTTGCTTTTTTCCTGAAGCTGCCGCTGGACTGCGGGGGCCGCTGCAGTTTGTCTGCAGATGCCGCGCTGCGGGCGGCCGCGAACCGGGGTCCCGCGCCGGGGCCGGGCTCGCAGGAGGGGCGGGCGCCGGCTCCTCCGCTCCCCGCCTCGCTCCTGCCCTCTCCTTTCTCGTCCCTCCCTTTCGCTTTCTCACCTCCTCTGCCTCCCCCGGGCTCGGCTCTCCTGCAGCTCGCTCTCGCTTGCCCCGTCCCGAGCGCGCTGGGTGCTTCCCACCTCTCTCCTCCTCCTCTTCCTCCTCCTTTAGCAGCTTTGGTGCCTTCATCTCAGCGGAGCTGGTGCTGCATCCTTGTGCCTTGCCTCCGGCATGCCCGGGCCTTTGCCCCCCACAGAGCTGTATGCCTCGGAGCGGATCGTCGTGCTGGTCTCCTGCGTGCTGTCCTGTCTGGGCTCCAGCCTGCTGGTGTGCACCCACGCCCTGTGGCCGGAGCTGCGGACCCGTCCACGCCAGCTCCTGCTCTACCTGTCCCTGGCTGACCTCCTCTCGGCCCTGTCTTACTTCTACGGGGTGCTGCAGGACTTCGACAGGACTTCATGGGATTGCGTGCTGCAGGGCGCCCTGTCCACCTTCTCCAACACCAGCTCCTTCTTCTGGACCATGGCCATTGCCCTCTACCTCTATGTCACCATTGTGAGGGGCTCGCCCACAGGCACGGGCTTGCTCTGCTGCTTCCACGTTGTGAGGTGGGTGCTGTCCGCCGTTCCTGCGAGAGCGCAAGGTGTGCGATCCCACCCCTCGGCCAGGAGCCGCCGCTGGCATGCCCCGCGCTTTCTGCTCCCTGGTGAAGCGCTTGGATGGTTTGCTCAAGTCATCTGCCCCTTCCTTAAGGATACTGTGCCCTTCTCAAGTTTCTTTTCAACAGGGGCTTTGCTGTCGCTTAGCTAACCAGCCCTGCTTAACCCCTCAAAGAAATGAAGATGTGCAAAAGTTAAAAATGATGAAGATAGTGTAGAAAATCTCTGGCAAGAGACAGTTTTGAATCTGGAAGTCCTGGCCCCGCTTTCCCTCTGCAATCTGGTCTGATGTCCTAGCAATAATATCCCCAAACTCCTGCTTGCAATACCGGTCCGTTGCTGCCAACGTTTCACGTTTGGGATCCGTTTCCATACATCCCTGGCTTCCTGGTGTCGGTCGGGTCTATGTTTCCTGCCCGTTTCCCTAGGCAAGTGACTGTAATTCAGTCCTTTCAGGAAAACGTAGTCTGCAAGGGAGGAGGCTGCTGGAAAAGCACTCTGAAGGTTGTTTTGGCATGTTTGATTGAAAGCAAGACAAAACAGCCCACGGTGTAGCTCTATGTCTCGGTTTCTGCTACTGAGCTGATTTTCCACATCATGTTTAGTAAAAGCTGTCATTATGCAATTTGAGCTTGTGTAGTCATGTGCTACCTCCACGCCGAGTGAAACAGTGATCCTTTAGTCCTCTGTGCTGCCAGGCTTTTAAAATAAATTATATGGAGAGTGTGTTTAAAAAAAAAAAAAAAGCCATTGCAAGGCAAAGTAACGAAACTTGTTTGATCTGTTGCTCTGTCAGATGAGTCTAACGATCAACTTTTATTTTCAAACAGCATCATTTGGGAGATGATTGAATTAGAGTTGAGTCCAGGTAAAAGATGGGCCAGAGAAAAAAACATGATGGCTAAGTGGGGAATTAAGGAGGAAACTTGGATTCCTGCCCTACCTGTTTTAATTACTGCTTGACAGCAAGGAGTGAGGAAGCCTGGGGTGCTTGCACATGCATCTGGATAGACCAGAATATTGTTGAAGTTGAAATAAAAGGCAATGAGACAGCCCGGGGAGTTTGTTAGCTTTTTGTTTCATTTCAAGTGAACAAGGAGTTGCACTATGAGAGTCGCGGAGAAAAGGGAACGCCAGGAAAGAGCTGCCTCCTGCTTAGAGAACAGAAAAAGGAGCCTTGACTTCTCCATGGGCTTGCATGACCGCATCATGCTACGTCAAAGAGTTGATGCAAATCTGGCCTACTTGTAATTTTCCTGTCTCTGCTGATCACTGGCTGTGTGACCTTGGTCTGTACTTCAGCCTCTCCATCTGGTTTAATACTTCTCAGCCTCATCAGATGCACAGTGAGGGGGAAAAACTTAGCAAGATTCATGGAAATACTGTTGGCTGTGATCTGTGTAGTCCTTTAAAACTGTAAAAAGCTGAAAGATTACACTAGCCCTGTGAGAGAGAGGAAGGGAGTATTCAACTCAGTTTCCTCTGTGTGAATTTGCTAGGTTTTATTTTCAACTCTTCATAGTTTAAAAAAAAAAAAAAAAAGCTATGCTCTGTTCTTGCTGGGATGTCTTGGTATTATTCAGCTCGCTTTGCTCTGTTTACAGGGCAAAACAGATAAATTTCATCTAAGTCCTATTATCAGGTTCCGCTTCATCAATCAGTCCTATTCTGTGCAGAGCCAATGCTTTAAGCTTCTTCCTGCTTTACAGTCTGTATGAAAAGTCAGAGAAAACAAGTGAGGACCTGTTCTCTGCCCATCCCTTCATGGCACCTTTTTCCTTCCCTGCCTTTTTTTATTATTACCTGTCAGTCATTAAAAAGAAGCTCTGGACATCACGCTTGGAGGTGTCTTTTCACGTCTCGGTGCTTAAAAGTCCTGCTGACTATTTGTAGTATTTTTAACCTGAAAAACTTTTTGGTACCATCTAGGTACCAAAATGGCTGCAGCTGGTGTGAAAAGATATCGGCATGTACAGTCAAATGAACTACAGAAGGATGCAGCTGGGGGCAAAAGGAAAGGTAGTAAAGGACAGATGTTTGGGGGATTTAAATGTAATGACGTTTCCAGTATCTTTGATATTTAAAATAAGCTAAATGTGTCTAGGCAAGAACCTGGGAATCTTTTTTTCTCTTCAGCTCGCAGCTTGCCAATGTGGTCACACAGTGACTGTTGTGAGATGCTGCTGGAAGGGATTCGAGGCAGGATGGAGTTTTATCGTGCCTGAGTTACCCATTCCTCAGAAGCAGTTACTCAGAAGAGGCAAGTGTTTGTAAAGATAAATACCAGGGCTGTTAGTATCTTGCAGTGGATCCTCTTTTAACGTTGAGTATAACCAGAGACTGTTCTTTAGCTGAACAGAGTTGGCTAAATATATTTTGGAAGTCAGTACTTGAAATTTTCTTTTTAGGGAAACTGGAAAGTCGCACTAGATGAAACCTGCCGGACAGGTTTGTTCCTTCTTGATTCATGTGGTAACACATGCACCAAGAGCATGCGTTTTGGAGCTAGTCTAGAGAAGTCTCTTCATACAGGCTTTGTTTTGTTTTTAAATTTGCGTTGAGCTCAGATGAGCTTTGAAAACAAGCTTATAGTTGGCTCTGAAAATATTTATGGAGTTGTAAGCTGCCATCCTGAGGGTTCTGGCATCCTGAGCATAAATTTCTAGGCTACCTCACTTGTTTTGGATTTCTGAATATCACATATCGTTTAGTTGGATGATGTTTTCCTTGCTGTGAGTACAGTTGATCCAAACTTGGGGTCAGGAACGGACCAGATCCCGTCCTGAGATTGCTCCTCACTACTGTTTTGATAGCAATTGCTGTCCACCTGTGAAACGTTTGCATTTTCATCATCAGGCTATGCAGACGTGTGCACACACATAAGGTACGCATCCATGGAGTACTCGAGGTCCCCCACAAGGACTGCGTTTAGGTCTGCGTGTACCTGACTCTTTGGGGGAGCCATCCTACATAATGACACTGTCTCTGGGGCTCAAAGTGAAATTTCTACTACTTTGTCCTATCTTGGATCTCTTTTATTCTACCGTTCAGGTATGCCTTGGGTGTTGTGCACCTTTAGCAGAAAGGCCCCGATTGTCCAAGCTGAGGGGCGTCCCCAAGCCAAGCGAGTGAGTCTTGCCAGGCTGTGCCTCTACATCGCTTTTTTGTTTTTGTATCTCTTTGGGAACAAAAATGAGGCTCGCTAATGATTCCTCTCTTCCTCCCTTCTACATAGGTATGAACTTTTGATATTTTCCAGTCTTTGGGAATCTTATCTGTCCTCCAGCAGCTCTTAAATAATCTAATCTCAATTTTCCTTTCCAGATTTCTAAAATGTTTTCAAATACGTTGGAGCTGAAGATCACTGAAATGACTGATTACTCTTTAGACTTTCTCTAACTTCAAGTTTTCAATCCTTTGTTTGGTGTTGGTTGCATTAGCCACCTGATCACAATTCACTGTTTTAGTGAATGTTGAAGAGTAAATCAAGCTCCTGTCACATATGGCAGTTTTCTTCCTCACTCTTCCTTTCACTAGTAAGATCCTTGAAGATCTATCTCTTTTTGCTTTTTTTCAGTCCCTTCCTAGCAGGCTGCTACTTCGTGCTATGGCCTTGCTTACTGTGTCCATATGTACTCGTGGTGTTCTTTTTGTTCATCTCTAGTAATTTGGCCCAATTTTATCTTTTTGTATGATTCTCTTTCAGTTCTAGGTCACTGTGGAGATCATTATTTAGGCAAATTAGTTTCTTAATACAGTTCTTTTTTCTTGGTGCTGGACTAATTTATGCTTGTGCCCTTTAATATGGTTTCTTTAAGGAAGTGCAAACTCTCTTGAATGCTTATCCCTACCTTACTGGTCAGTTCTTCAAAGTGTTTTGAACTTTGAATCTCTCTGATTCTGTAATCCTTGCTTTTAGGCAAATCACCATTTTGACCGAAATGGGAGGTTTTCAGGTGCGCAGAAACTTTTGTGGCTGCTGGCGATGTTTAGAGTGGTTTTGGAAGGCTTGCAGCATGGGATGGACTTCTTGCAGCAGAAGTGTCTCTAACTGTACTGGCTCAGCTGTTAGCACTCAGATATATCTTCTGAATGTTGTAAATGTGCAAAAGGGTGGACTCTGAATTTTTTTAATAGTGTTATATTAATGTTTGTTTGTTTTTGTAAGTGAAAAGGATTTAAAGTAGCAGGATTATCTCTGATTTTAAATTGGTCGTTGGACCTTGACAAGGTCTGGCCTAGGCAGCTGCTTTAACAGATGCTGGCTGCTTGGAGCACCTGAGGGATGTGAAACTGATTTTAGGAGGAGGATCCTACTCGTGTTCTCTGAATGCAGCTTCTTAGAGCTGCTCACAAAGATGAGTGGGAATGAGGAAGGTGATGAGCAATGTGATACTGGCTCAGTTTTCTTTGCATCTGGAGAGACCAGGGGGATTTTGCTGGAAGCTCGATCTGGGTTTTCTCTGAAGCATGTGTGTCACTTATTGGGGAACTGTCCCTTGTCCCTCTAAAGCCTTCTCAGAACTTCTTTCTGAGGACGAATATTGAGTAAACAGGTGATGCTTTCAGATGAATTCAGGCCAGCCTTTTGACCATGGAGTGATACGTGAACAGTACGTCATGGGTTAGGACAGGGCTGTAACGTGCTGGGTATTAACAGCAGCCAGGAAGGGACTGGCTATTTTATGTTTGGGTTCATGGAATTTTTCAGCTCCTGTGCATAGATTTTTGTGGGCAGCCCAAGCTGTTGAGTGACTTAATTTGCGTGTGCTGTTTTTCTTCTAGAAAACTTCCCTATGTTTGCCTCTGCTGTCAAGAGATAAGTCAAAGTCAAAACACTGGCTCCAGATTACATGAATCTGGCTCATCTTTGCTTTTGCAGTTTTTGTCATTACTGTCAGTGCTTTTTCTTTGGAAGAAAGCTTCCCCTTGTTGTCCTTCAGAAGTGACCCTCTTGCCTCCAAAGAACTGACTACACTTTTTTTTTTTAATCAACTGATGGAATAAAATTGTGTTTTTTCTGGACTAGGTATTGGAGCTTGTTAGAAGAATCCCTTCTCTGGCAAGCATTTTCCCGGGAGTGCAGAAGGACTAAACTGAGCGCGTTCTTGGCTTAACTTTGCTCTTTGTTTTCTTTCCTCAGCTGGGGAGTCCCCCTTGGCATTACAGTGGCTGCTGTTGCACTGAAGAAGATTGGCTATGATGCCTCCAATGTTTCTGTTGGCTGGTGTTGGGTCAACTTGGATGCAGAGGATCGGATTCTGTGGATGCTGTTAACGGGGAAAGTTTGGGAGATACTGGCCTATGTGACTTTGCCGGTGCTCTACATCCTCATCAAGAAGCACATTAACAGAGCAGTGAGTACTCTGCTTCCTGCTTAGGTTACAGTCTTGCTATGTGATTATATTCTCCTGCGCTCTGAGGATTTTGCTGTATATTAGCAGCTACGCAGGCAGGAATTGCTTCATATGCTCCTGAAGTGCATCCACCACGAGGAGAAGCAGTACGGCTGATTTAACAGCCTCCAGCATCATTACACAATGACTTAGCATAAGACGAACGTAAAAGCCTTTTGAAAGCTTAAAGGGATGTGGGATGTACGTGAGTGAAAAGTAAATCCTAGAGTAAAAATAGAAAAGGATGTAAAGGACAAAATTCAGCTTTAATCAGTCGTTCACACAGTTCCTCTTGTACCAGGCCTGAGTTTGGTTTCTGGACGTGTCTACCCTCAGTCATCTGAGGATCGCTAATGATTGCTTGCGCTCATGAGTACTGTTTTGTACTAGCAGCGTAAATCCCCATTTGGGAGCCTGAGCACTATAGCATTAGGCACTGCATGCATACACAACACAAAGACACCCTGCCCCTAGGGGTTTTCAGTCTTCAGAGGCTTATTTGCTGTTATTCCTTGTGAACGCAAGGAATCTGGGGATCTGGGACAACATTTGCGTAATGCAGAAATGAAATCTTTATTGTGAGAAGGAACTATGTCCAGAGATTTTTTTCCCCCTAAGTTGCATTAGAAAAGGAAAAAAAATAAAAGGATAAATCTCCTTCTGGAGAGCACTGTCATTGCCAGCCTGCTTGTTGTGGTGAAGCTATGGCAGTAGTAGTTAAGGATAAGCACATGTCTGGCTAGGGCAGGATCCCACAAATGAGTTGGAAGTAGAAACAGTTTTGAGCTTTTAAAAATGGGGGGGAGCCAGTCCCATGGGTGCTGGGGAAAGGGATTTGGGAAGGGCTTGCTGGTGTCTGTCACTAGGCACCCGACATAAATTAGACAGGACTGTGTGTTCCCGCAGCTGTCAAAGATAGCAATGTGACAGTCTGGAAACTTGCCCCCCCCCCCCAATGCAGCCAGGCTTTCACCCTTGTGCTGCGTGCCAGGGACTCGGGCGCTCTGCTCTCCCTTTCATGCTCCCAGCCCTGATCCTCCTATGGCAGCAGTGCTGAGAGCAGGCAGTTGTCACTCCTGCTTCCCATAATTGGGGTCTGAGGCAGCAGCGACAGGGCCTTCTGGACTGGAGGATCTCTCTCTTCTCATCACTGGGGAATTTTGCCAAGCCTGGTGGCCTGCTTACCAAGCCTCTTTCCTGGAAGGAAGCTGTCCACTTCCAAGAAAGAGCAACGAACAGCCAGGGCTGGGTTTGGGGCTCCGGTAACAGCTCCAGTGGGTTTTGAGCAGTGGCTCTTCTGTGGTCGGAGACAGGTGGGCACATGGGAGTAGCTGTTCTGGAGCACGTGTGTGGGGCGCATGCAAGGGGCTTTCCAGACAGAAGAGACTCCACAAGGGCGGAGGGGAAGGTGCATCGACAGACCTCAGAGGGGTTTAACTCTGCCCACGGTGCAATGCTGTCACACAGCTCTGTTCTGCAGGAGCTGAGGTGGCAGGGCTGCGAGTACTGGAGCAAACGAGCTCTGTGCAGGAAAGCTGTATGTGCTCAGTAGCCCTGATGGAAGGAGGAGAAGTTTTGAGTGGGTCATCTACACTGAGATTTAATCCTTTGCCCACATTGACATCCTGGTATCCAGCATCATGTGGCCCAGCAGCTGCTGTCTGTGCTGTGCTGACTTGCTCTCCCCCATCCACAAATCTGAGTGCATCCAGCAGCTTTCAGCACTGCAAGGTCTCATGGGCCTTAGACCCCCAGCCTCCCATAGAGCGCGTAAACCCCTGGTATTTTTCTACACATAGTGGTATACAGAGGTTTGCTGGCCTGTCCAAGCTATGAAAGCCCATTGCTTGCAATATAAGGTCAGAAATCAGTTGGCAGGTTTCAGGCAAACATAACAGATTTCTTCACGTGTGCATAGTGGAGCTTGTTGGCTGTGGTAAAGGCCAAAAGTTTGAATGGTTTAAGAAGGATTAGGCAGTTCTCTCCCTGTCAACTTATCCACATCACAGGCTACAACAGATGAGACCTTCAGGGAGGCCCTAAGCTGCTGACTGCTGGAGGCTAGCAGGATTGCCGTATTTGCCCTATCTCCTATTGTAAGCCTCTGCCATCAGGTGCTGGGAGAGCAGGCTTCTGAAGCAGTGGATTGCTTGTCTGACTCTCCAGGGTAGCTCCTACATCTTACTGGGGAGAGTGCCTTCAAAGAAAACCACCTTCCTTCAAGCTAGCTGTCCAGTGCCTGCCCTTCTCAAAAGGGTGCTGTGATGGCAGGGCTCCAGACAAGCTTCTCTGAGGGAGCAGGAACCCTAAAGGAAAGGGCAAGCTCGGGACAGCCTGGGAATTGGCTTGGGTGGAGTGAAGCTCAGAAGAGCTGAGAAAGATGTGGGAACAGATGTGTAAGGACAAGAGCATACAGCTACCAAGAGGCCTTCTCAGCCGTGCATTTACAAAATGGTAAATCCAGCAGTGGGCCAGGCCATGTGACCAGCAACCTGTTTTGTGGAGCACTGTTTGTTTTTTTTGCTTTTTGTTTTTGCATTGTTAAAACAGGATTCCTTGGTACTACGTAGCCATGTAGGTTTATGTGATGCTTTAACGGAGCACAGAGAAGGACCACTCCTTGGCTTCATCAGAAATGTTTGCTTTAGCAAGGGTAGAACGTGGTTGAAGATCTGTGCTCCGTAACTCCATCCCTCTTAACATCTCACAAGATGCAAAGAATTAGTTTGCTTTGGAAATAATCCCTGAAGCTGAGTGTTCACTGTGTGTAGCATTTTGTTTACCTTTTCTCCCACCCCCATGGAAGCATGCAGCACTGTCCGAGTATCGCCCCATCCTCTCAAGAGCACCTGCATTTCAGCCCCGGACTTCTATAGCAGATAAGAAGTTGATTCTTATCCCTGTCATCTTCATCATCCTACGCATCTGGAGCACTGTGCGATTCATTCTGACCCTCTGCAACTCCCCGGCAGTACAAAACTCGGTCCTTGTTGTCCTGCATGTAAGTATTTGCCTGGTACTGCATTAGAAACAAGGTCTGGGAGAAGATAAGGTCTTGTTGCTCTAAATATCACTTCTATGCCTGAATGCAGCACATACAGGTAAAAAGCATGCACTTTGCAAGCAGGTTGCAAGAGCATCTGCTCGCTGGCATCTAGCACCTACTGGGATGCCCAGCAATAGCTATTTCAGCAGCATCTAGTGGTCAGAGACGGTGACTGCACTAGGGATGTCGGGCTGCTGAAATGCTGGCCGCTGAAAGAAAAGCGGGCTCAGAGCAGAGATGTTGGGTGTGTGCCCTTCAGTGGGGCTGCAGGCAGGCAGGGCGGGCTGCGGCTTGCCCAGACCGCCTCCATGGCTGCAGGACTGGGCCTTGGCTGGAGCATCGGCCTGCAGAGAAGGCAGCCCACGACAGCAGTCTGGTTTGCTTTTGGGTACAAGGCTGACTTTCTTCTTTTCTGCTTTTTCTCATATGAGTGGAAGGTATTGACTGCTGCGCAGTTGTCTGTGTGCCCTGGCACGACTTGCGCTCTTCTCTGCGGTGGGGTGCCAGTAGGACTGGCACTGGCTAACTCTTCTCTTGGTCTCACAGGGAATTGGTAACACGTTCCAAGGAGGTGCCAACTGTATTATGTTTGTCCTCTGTACTCGGGTGGTCCGGGCTCGACTCTTCTCCTTCGTTTGCTGTTGCCACTATGACAGCTTGGGCTGGCCTTTGCAGAGGTCCAACAGCAGTCAGCAGCACCCAGAGCCCTGCAAGAACAAGGACGCTCCAGACCCCGAGCGGACAAGACCTCTACTTTCCAGCACCTGAACCTCGACTGCCCACACCTCAGTGCTGATTTCATCTTTCTTGGTAAAAACCTAGTGTGAGTCCTTTTCCTGCCCTACGTGCGCACAGGCTGTTAGTCTGATGCGAGGGGTGGGGAGCGGCTATCAGTAGAGAGTTGACAGAGGAAGGGGAAAAGACCTTCCTGAGAGGTAGGTTGCTGCTGCCGCTCTGCTGAGGATTGTCTGTTGGACTCTACAGCAGCTGCGCCCTGTGGGGCTCCTTTAGGACTGATCCAACACCTTTCCTGCGAGCTGGGGGTAGCGTCTCTTACTCTCATCTGTAAAACGAGGAAATAGACTGCCGTGTTGTCTGGCCCACAAGGACGGGACGCTAGAGAAGTCATTCTCCAGTCTTTAGATGTGCGGTTGCTTAGAGTGCTAGGTAGCACCCAGGGAGAACTGAAGAGGAGGAACTGGTGGTTCCACATAGTGTATGTGTGCATGGTACTTTATTTTTCTTCTGTACTTCCTATTCCAGATATATTTAGTGCCCCAAGTATTCCTCATAAGGTAGTGCAATCCCTGCTGCCGCTTGTCATAGAAAGGAAATGAAGAGTAGATGACTCATCTAAGCTTATGTAGAAAAGCTGTAGGAACAAAGCTTAACAGCAGCTTTTCAAGGTTTTGGATATGACATCAAACACTGTATGATGTCTTTGCCTTGTTCTACTTGTTTATGCACCTCGTTTCTTTGGGCTTGACCTCATGAATAACAATTACAAAACATAACACGCGGGGGCGTCAAGAGTTGATCCATTCAGGACCGCTTGGGTTTGCGGTGCTGTGCAGGCTTCTGCCTGTGGAGCAGATATTGGTAGCGCTCTCTTCAGTACCAGTGTGCAGCCCAAGGAGATGATAACCCAGAGTAGCTTCTTGTCCTCCCTGACCACAAAGCCTGAAAAAACAAAGAGAACTTTTTTTTAACCGGTTGACAATTCTTTAATTGTATAACTAGCTTTTGCTAAAAGAACAGGAGCCTCACGGGGAGAACAGGAGGCCTGGGGAGAGGGGACAGCTGCTAGACTCCCACTGCTCCAAGCACCCAGCTGTTCAAAACCTTATTGAACAAAACCTGCTCTCTTATTAGTGTGACTAAAATTAACAATACGTGAAACAGCTGGATGATGTAGTGATCTCATGGGACTGGGCAAAGGCGTGTTCTCTTACTTCCTTCAGTGAAGACTTGGAATTAACTTTATTATGGTATTAGTATATTTAAGTCCCCTTATACACAGAGGACTGTAAATGTGGGAAGGTGGAGTCCTCAAAAATTCGTTAGCCCATTTCAGGGGGCTGGAGAGGGGCTTGGCTCTTTAGCATACCAAGAGCCTTTGAACAGTAGGTGCAAGCATCTTTTATCTCTGGCACAGATGACTTCGGGAAGCTTTTCCCCTTAAAAAGGGTTTTTAAACTTCAGACAGCTGCATAGCAACACTGGTAGCTCAACCTCATGTTAATCCTGTGTCACCTGGAAAGAGGAGCTGTGTTAAAACCTTTTCTTGTAGAAAAGCTGGGTGGTAAATCTTAAAATTAAGATAAGTAAAACCATGCTTTGTTCAGCTCTTTAGAGCCAGGCCTGAAGAGAAGTTGTTAAGTGGTCACCAATTTGGTAATTCTGTATTTTAAAAAAAAAAAAAAAGAAACAAATAAAAACCCCTTGTTTTCAATTCCCCTTTTTTCGTAACAGCAGAGATCTGAGAAATGCTTTTGGAGGAATGTGCAGCTCAACAGCGTTACATTCTGCTCTCCAGGGCTTCGGGGAAGCAAGCTGGTTTGTAAAGGCCAGATACTGGCAATAGCACCTGTGCTGATGCAACTAGAAAATCTCTGATTATGGAAATCTTGATGTAGGCAAGGCCAGAGGAGAAAGGAAAACGGCCAACAGAGAGGATCCTAGAAGTTCTTTAATGCTTAACACTGAAGCTGGTCGCAGCCTACGTATAAACAGGGGTGGGATAATGCGGTTGGCTGGGAGAGGAAGGGTCCAAGCTGGTGTGCAAACTGCTTGGCCTTTCAGGTTTGAACGCGTTTTGTTTTGAGCAGGTGCAGGATCGTCCTGGAGTCCCACAGAGGGAGCTAGAGCCCGGCAGAAGAGCCCTGCTGGAGTGAGTGAGCAAGCAGAAGGGGTCCCCGCGCCTCCCTGGCATTCAGATCCCAGCTGCTGCCGTCTTGATCTTCACTCGGGATCTTCTGGAAGATACTGTTTGGTGACGCTCCAACTTCCTGGTTTTCTTCCCTCTCCTTCTCTCTGTCTCCACCATAAACCTTAGAAATTGTTTGGGGTTTTGCTTTTCTGTTCGATGAGGTGTTCTTGTGAGCTCTGGGGAGAGCAAATACCGTGGTGATAGGAAAAATTTAGCAGCTGCTGAACAGGACTGTCCTGGACATGCATTTGAGTCCTGGTGCATGAAATCTTCCAGGGAGCTCTGGACTGGCTCCTGTTCTTCACTTGAATGTGGACGGTAGTCTGCAAACATGTTTCCTGGTGGGGATGGACGATTCACCTTGATGTTTTGCTGCTCCTCCTCGGTGGTTGAAGGTCCTCATCGTCAGTGTTTGTGGTGGCAGCATGCTTATTGTTTCCTGGGATAATCTGAACTCTGGACTCTTGGTGCTGAAGGATATTTAGGTGTACCAGGACAGCCCTTGCCAACAGCAAGGTGGTGCTTGGCACGTGCTCTGAGTGTCAGGTGTCCTTTGCCAAAGCAGACTGTGGGGTCTGGTTGGACCTGGGGAGGGGATGTTTTTATTGGTTTGCTGTTTGGAGATACTAATATACCCTGTTTACAGCTCCTCACTCTAGTTGTTTTTAAATATTTTCTCAGACTTTGACAAAATAAAGCTTTGTTTCTTTACTGAGCTGTTGTTCTTCAAGTGTGTTGGGATGGGCCTGTCAGCACCTTGAAGAGCTGGGATCAGAGACCGTTGCAAGATCTTCAGGCTTCTTGTGTGTCTATAATGGGGGAGGAAAAAAAGACTGACTTCTGAAGGCATGCACAGGAAGGCAAATCTTCTGTATCTATTTTTAGATGACTTTCTCTTCCTAATTTTTTGTATAAAAATGTAAACCTTTCATCAGTTTGAGCAACCTGTTCACCTGTATGTATTATACTTGATTCCCACTGGCCTGTTGCTATGAACTGAAAAGAGCTGTGAGAAATGAGTGTGGGTCTTGTTTCCCTTAGCCTCAGTTCGCCTTACGGACGGTGCTCTCAAATGCATGAGATAACAAACGTGTAATCATGAGTTTACAAATTGCACTTTCTCCAGATGAGGTCAGGTTGTAAGACAGGTAGGAATTATGTTGGAGAGAGCTGGTGGCTTCCCAGGACTTGTCCAAGAAGGGAAAATATGTGTATTTTGGGGGGTGGGGAAAACCCTGAGGCAGGTAACCTTGCCTTTGGGCAGGCTAACAGTTGAGTGACGCTTCCCAAGTTGCCATGTGATTCCAGCCTGTGAATGAACTTTACCCAAAATAGATTAACATTTTGCCAGCCGTTTCCAACAGCTGGAAGCAGTTGAGAGCCCTGGCGCAATAAGCGGTGCTGGACCTTGGCTCTGTTCACAACTGATTGAGCAACAGTGGTTGTTACTAGGGTTACACAGAGATATCCCAGATGGGAAGCTGCTTTTCTGTGGTTTATAACTGTGCCCCGAATTTAAAAGGTTCACCTGAAAATGTTCTCTGCTGGCAAGAGAGGAAAGGAGTCCACATGCTGTGGAAGAACAGGCAGAAGGAAATGTTTGTTCTGCAGCGTTAGAAGTGATTGATGTCTCCTCGTAGTGCTTTGGCTGCTCTGGCAGGGGCACTTGCCGTGTGTGTTTTGTGTCAGCGCTCTGCCTTCTGGCTGCATTACAAACCTTTGAAGAAAAAGTTAGTTTGCACATTAAGGGCTGGCTTTCCGTTTTGCTATCCTAAACGTTGCCATTCCTGAACGTGCCCGTGTGCCTTGGAGCTCAGATGCTCAGCGTGCTCCTATCCGTGGTCTAGGAGTTGATGTCAGAAGGAAGGGCTGGGTGTGCTGTTCTTCTGCAGCTCCCTTGGGGTCTTTGAAGTTCAGAGAAAGACAAAAGAAAGAGCTGGATGTGTGGGGAGGGTGACAGCTGCCTATTATAGACTATGATAGTGGAGCCTGGGGAGGGGAAGAAAGAAAAAAATAGGGCTGCAAAGAGGCTCCTTAAGTAATGGGAACTGGAAGGAAACCAGGCAAGAAAGATGAGGGAGGACTTGGAATGGTTGGAAAAGGAGGACAAAAAGTTCCTGCACAGGTTTTGAGACTGGTTAGGCAAAAAAAAAAAAAAAAGCTGCAATGAAAACCCTGAATGGAGCAGGGTGAGCTATGTGGAGGAGGCAGGAGTGGGATGCGGGGACAAATTGGAAAGAATAAGAGTGAGCGAGCTCTGGATTGAGGGGAGCAAAGGGCTGGAATGTGCTTGCCCACAGGTGTTAAAATTTGGTAAATTAACCCCTCACTTATATGTGCATCTGCTGATACTGATCTAGTCATTGCAAAATCCCTTTTTTTTCCTCCTCTCTCTCTCTCTCTCTCTGTCTGTTCCCCTCTGATCTCTGACTCTAGGAGTGAACCAGAGAGTTCTGAAGTTCAGGACGATTTGGGCAATACCTGTTTGTGAAACATGGAAGCCGTGGCTTTAACAAAGCATCTATTTAGAAGAAGGGGATGAATTGTCTTGTTGCTAAAGCAGAGGAGCATCTTCTTGGAAAACTTTCTGCTCTTGCTGCTCCCATCTTCTCCCCTCAGCAGGAAGAACAGTTCCAGGTGATCAGACTAGAGTTGCCAAACCTGATGTTTGGAAGACTTATGGTTGCGTGATACCAGTTACTTCTGCTGCTCGGAAGATGCATGAACGTCTGTTGCGTTGTGCTGAATTTCGTTTTTCTTTAAGTCCATGCAACCCCCTAGGGAACTGCAGAAATCAATGCAGAGTAGCATGAGCTGTCTAAAAGCAGGTCTTAGCTGGCACAGCCAGTTTTTCTATCCTGAATAGAAAAATGAGCCTACCAGGGTCCGAGAGAACAGCGTGGGTATTTCGGACAGTCAGGCGGTGCTGCTGAACAAAGTGCAGAGAGCTTTAATGTTCAAGCATTCCCACACTCTTACTGAAACATCTGCTGGATCACACAAGCATGTCAGTGGAGACAGGACCAGACAGTTCCCAGACCAGCTTATCCGAGCGTGATATGGTAAGCTTACAGATCTCAATCTGCTCCGTTGCATTTATTTTGGGGATATGTGTGAGTGGCTGAGGCTCTTGTGAGATGGTCTTTGAGGATAGCTATGGAAAAGGAAGAAGGTTGGTGAGATTTCACCCCGCACTGTCTGGCAAAATAGGGCCTCATTTACCTCGTAGTTCCAGGGCCTCTTGCCTGCTACTATTTACCTGCAAAGTGTGCTCGCTTTATCCACAACACACCGTCCTCTTCCTAGAGGTTGAGATTGACATGTCTGTCTCTTGCTTGGTTGGCTGAAAACTGTTTTTGCAGCTAATAAGGCACTATCTGTATATGACTTGTTTGCAGGCAAATTATTTATTACCTGAACTATGGTCTCACCTTGAGGCTTCAACTGTAGCTCAGGACTGCATAAGATATTGAATTGAGCCTTCAATAAACGCACAGTTCCTTCCCAAATTGAAGGGGTAGAGGATAGCACAAGATGAAATTTTATTTAGCTTTCTCTTAAGATGAAAAGGTTCCTAATGTTAGCATGTTTTGAACACGTGCTGTGGAGATCTCTTCTACTAACAATTTCCTTACTGCAGGTGTTGTCATGAGCATGCTGCAGAGTGGCTGACTGCCAGCTCCTTAATCTAACCACCCTTTCTCCATTGCTTATTACTAATGTTCTCAACTGCTGCTTCTTCCAGCAGATTCACTCTCCTGGAAACTCTAAGCCTCATCTCTGAATTATCTTTTCCTCCTGTCAAGGAAATCAATTTCTTGGGATACAGCTTTGCGAGCGTGGGCAGTTGAGCTAGGTGCAAATAGTTCCCTGCCCCCATGCATGGGAACTCTTCCTGTGTGGTGGACAAGTGCCGAGGAGAAAAGATGAATCGCTGAGTAAATATCTTCAGGCAAATGCACCCTGTTGTGATGAAGAGCAGCTGTAAGGAGCTTTTATACTTCAGTCTGTATAGTAGCTGAGAGGAGAAATGTGCCTGTAAAACACCTCTTTTTGCAAACATCTCTGCAGGCACTGTGCTGGAGAGGAGGTCTAAGCTAAGTACAAAATGAATTAAACTCCCAACTATGAACTTGGAAGCTATAAAGATGGTGTTTGGTATGTGCTATGTGATGACGTCTAACTGCTCTAAGGAAGAGGGGCCCCTTCTCGAGCCACATATTGCAGGAACCCAGGAAGGAGGAGTCCCCAGCACAGACTTTTCAAAATATGAGCGAGAAGACTTTTAAATCCATGGGAAAAACAAGCTTTCCCTGGTGCTCCAGAGGTATTTCTCACTGCCTGTAGTATGTAAGCAGTACTGAACTGCCTGTGTGGATGTGCCCCTTTTGGTTCTTGACTGTCTTTACTAGTTACTGGCTCTTATCTTCTCAGCCCAAGTCCAACAGGAGCTGAGCTGTTGGGACAGGCAACAATTACACCCCAGCAATTGCTGTGAAAGTCCAAGGAGAAGCTTCCCTTCACTGTTCTCTCTGAGATCACCCAGGTGCCAATTACTACTTTATGGAGGTTGTTACCAGATTCTTGCTGTGATTGGCAAATATTCAAAGTGTTCTGCTGTCATAAGCAAATATTTGCTCTCTGATGAAGGACTTCTGATGGCAAATGTCCATGTCCTGTTTGTTTTTCCGTATGTGTCAAGATTACTACTGCAAGCTTAAGGAAGGAGTTTAAAGATCCTTTCACTATGATGGAAAATGCTCTTTTTGTACAGTTACCAAGTATCAGAGCAGATCTTGTTCTGCCAAGAGCTCCCAGAAGAGTGACACTGCGTCTTTAAAGGGCAAGAATTTATTTTGTGGAACAAGTTTGTTCGTGCTACTTCCCCAGCCCTGGGGCAGAATGGCTTGCTTAAGAAGCACTTTCTCTCTTCTGACCAGAGATCTTGGGCAGTGAGAGCTATACTGAGTGCTGAGTGGGCCACGACCTGTGCCATCAGTCTTGGAGTGCTTTGAACAATGTTCAAAGGCAGCATGGGAAGAATCGCGTTAGCTACAATGGCACGTAGCTGCGTTCCCCTCATGGATGGGAATACCGAGGAAGGTTGAGAAACACGAGAGCTACTGGTGAAACAAGTTGTTCTCGTTTGCATCTCTTCAGTTAAGACCAAGTGATAGGCAGGACTATGAAGCAGTAGTAACGTAGGAGTGTTCTCGATGGGATCCACTGAGAACAGTTTCTTCAAGAAAACTACTGACTTCCACAAGTGGCTTACGTGACTCCTGCTGTGAGTTGTCAAGATGTCCTAGCACATGCTGTCTGTGAGGACCTTAATTTATAACAAACTCGATAAAAGATAAATGACAAGAAGTCTAGGGCCTAACCTTCAATACCCTGGAAGCGGCAGGTTTCTGTTTTCCCATTTTTATGGCAAGATCTCTTGCTGAACTTTTTTGTGACAGGGTTGTCCAGATTTTACTTACAGTATGAACTGCATATATGAGCTGACACCTAGTTAGTCCATCCTCTCCTGTTAATGGTTACCTAGATCACCTCCTACTGCCAACAGCACCGTTACATTCACGTAAGTAGCTATAGCAAGTAACTGTATAAGTGACCCTATAAAAACAAGCGAGTCAAGCCAGCATCATCTGATCATCTGGTCGTCTTTTGACCAGCAGCACCTTCTGCTCTGATTTCTCTCTTCTTTTAAAACAAGCTCTTCTGAAAGAAGTGTCTGGGGGGAAGGTTTCACTTCCTTCGGTTTCTCTTGCCCTGGTGAAAACATCTAAATAGCAGCCAGCACTATTTCTGGTACTATTAAATGGTAATGAGTTGATCCTTCCTTTTGTAATGATTACATGGGCTTGCACCTGAAATCAGTCAAGGTTTGTGTAAAAGGGAAGGTTCCTGACAGCAGTGCTTACCCATGGGTTGTTACTTATCCCTTGCTGCGAAGGGCACTGCCCTGAAGGCCTTGCCGGATATGGAGTTCCCCAAAGACACAAGGTTTGGGCTCGAGCAAGGGCGGTACATCCACATGGTGTCTGCAGAGTTAGGTGTAACTGCAGAAACAGCTGCTGTGCACGAGCCCTTCAGGACCTGCTGGTGCACAGGTTCTCCCAGTGGCCTCCTTCGTTATTAGGGTAATGCAGGTGATAACACTGCATGCTGTCCTCTCATATCCGCTTTGATCACAAGCACAGGCTTTAATGTGGGATTCTTCAATGTTTTATCTTGTTCTCTGCTTAATGAGCTGAGGCAATAACAACTCTGGCTAAGCCTAATGGTACTAGCTATAATACTTTATTATCCTCGCTGTGGATTAGTTACCAGAATGTTTGCTAACACTGTCAAAAGTTGCAAGATTATCAATGATCTTTTTTTATGCTATTTGTATTGTGATTTATAGATTGGATTGCCCTTACTGAATTTCAACTATCAATATTAAAGGATAATCCGTACTAAACGTGTTAGGTGGTCCTGTTTGTGCAAGCACTTAGTTCTTGGGTGTTTAGCTTTTACTGCATTACTTTCCTTGAGGTCATGACTTAGATCAATTGAGTAGAGTTCTAGAGTGAGTAGTAACAAGGGGATCTTAAAACAGGATCCTCTAGGGGGAAAAAAGCATGGAAAAACCAAAAACTAGCAGCAGTTCAAAAAACATGCAAAATAGAATAGCAGTGTTTGATCTGCAGAATATATTTCCAGAGAAATTGCTAATAGGTGCAATAAGGTGTTCAAGGAAAGGGTGCGGGGAAGCTAAGTACAAGTCCCATACTTAATGCTTTCCCTTGGAGGAAGGGAGAGTGCAACCATTTGGGGAACGCATGCAAGATGCATGACCAACTCCTGTGGCTCAAGTGACACTTTTTTTTTTTTATGCTGGATGTTACAGACAGCCAGACCAATAATAACATGGTTTGGTTCCAGTTACTCCAGCTCTTGAAAGTATCTCTGAACTTTGCATTTCTTTGATAAACTCTGGGAACCTTAGTTAACTATTATTCAAGTCCTGCTCTATTCAAAGCAGTCTTGCAGTGCAGAAGGGGGTTAATGCTCAGCCCTTGCATGCGTGTGGTGCACCTTGCATGTAGAGGAAAAAGAGTATATGCTTAGGTATAAAAACAATGTTTTCCGTGTGCTAGCAAAACATGAGCCAGAAGAGATGAACCTGTTGTCTGCGACGTGCAGAAATGCCTTGAGCAAGTTGATCTGTGCTGGGCAGGACAGTGAGCAGCATTCCAGACCGGGGGCAGAGGTGTAGTTTGTGGCTGCAAGAGGATTAATGCAGTCTATGGCCCATGGCAAAAAACCTCTCTGCCAGGCTGGGCCGCGTTCTCTCCGCAGAACGCCCCATTCTCCCTGGAATTCGGTGGTCGGCAGACTCGAGCGGTTGCCAGGCTGCCTCTCCGGCGGCAGACGTCCACGGCTGCGTAACAGCTGCAGCATGAAGGAGCAGAAACTCTACTGCTGTAGACCCGTCCTACCTGCGTGTGCACAGCTCATCCAGCAGCTTCTGTGATTGTTTGCCCCTTCCTCTTGGACAGATGAGCCTGTTGCCCCTCTAGTTAAGTAACACCTCTGTTCCGGATCTGGCAAAAGCACGTTTGACCAAGGAGAAGAAAGAGAAGACGCAAGAGAAACATGCAGCATTGGAAGATGAGTGGATGACAAACTACTTCAGCCAGTAGAGCTTATTGATCGGATGACGAACTACTTGACTTTGGCCGGTAGAGCTTGTCATTGATTGGATGCTTCCTCAGAAGTCACTGGGTGGATTTTCTGTCTATGTAGGGAGTTTCCATTCCCTGTGTAGTATGTTTTGACTATAAAAGCCTGTACTCAGCATCTGTGACTCAAATACCAAAATGAAGCTGAAAAGGGGTAAAGGGGAGAGCTCTGACACTGATGAAGGTCCGAAGGGGGTAAGTATGCCAGGTGCTGTACTTCCAACTTCTGTTTCCTGCAGAGATCCAGAGCAGGCTAATTAACAGGTACTTGTAGAAATTCACTTTGGTGTGTTTTTTTTTTTTTTTTGAGCTAATATATCTCCTATGATCTCACAGGCAGAGCAGAAATGTGTATGTTCTTGGACCGAATTTATGTTTGTCTGCCCAGTAGCATTGCATTGAGTCAGGAGGGCTTCATTCTCTCTGTCTGTGGCTGGTCTACCATGCGACTTCTGTGTGATTTTTCCCCTTCTGTGTGCTTTCTTTCCTACTTTCTCATCAGTTTTAGGCTGCAGGTGCTTCTGTATGGAGACTGCCTTTCACAGTTGCGTTTCTGTGGACTCTTGCACAATGCAGCGCTCGTGTATGTCGGAGCTGTTTCTGAAAGCGCTGCATGTGAATACTTAGTGCCAGCAGCTCTTCTGAGCTCTGGGGATTGGGTAGGATTTCTTTAATGATAGTAAGGCAGCCTGCCTTTCATCACCGATGCAAGGATGTCAACAGTTTAGTACTAAATATAGCTTGGAGCCTCAGCTCCCTGCTGATCCTTGCTCTGAGACTGACTTGCATTTTCATCTCCTTAAACTCTGCAGATCTCTGCAGGTGAGTTGTTAAAGCTTCTGAAGTGTATAAGGAATGTCAAGTGTCCCGGCAGCTATTCAGACAAATCTTCAGTTAAAGACATGATGGATGCTCTGTGTGGGACATAAGACCTTGGAGACATTAAGGCTAATGACGGTGACAGAAAACAGTATGCTTCTGAATGAAAAATGACTTTATTGCTGTAGCAGCAACGTGATACGTGAGTGTGCTATAAAAAGCAGCTCACTCAACAAAGCAGGGCTAATTCCTGCCTGACAACTGAATAGCAGCTGAATTGTTGCAGAAAGCCAGTAGCTTGTGACTGAGGACTGTGTACCTACAAACATGGCTGGTGTTTGATCCTGTGCCAGATGGCAATGTCACCCTTCCGTTTAACTGCAGAGCGCTGCTCTGAAACTCGGCAACCAAGCCCTCGCTGAACTACATGGAGAGATTCTAATTTGCTTCAATGGCAACTGGATTAGGCCCACAAACCCATAAATTTGGGGGCCTGTAAATTAGGCCCATGAAATATTGGGAGCAAGAGCAACCCAACTTGTGAAAGTAGAAGCGGGCAGGAAAGGGATTTTGCCGTTGCATGCAAAATCTCTCCTTTTAAAAACCTTCCTGTGCCAGCATCTTGTTTTATTTCACTAACTAATTTACGCTTTGGAAAAGGAATAATTACATAAATTTTTCCCTGCAGGGTGGTGCTTTAAACATGATCACTTAAAAATGATTCGTCATCCAAATGACCAGGAAAGAGCAGATTGAATTACTGTAATGATTATATGCAAATCAAGCAGAACAAAACGAGTTGTTATGAAAACAACTCATTGGGCTTTTTTGTACAGTAACATGAAGCCAAAAATATGGAAGACAAGTCTTTATCTTTCTTTCTTTCTTCTTATTGAATGCCATTTATGCCTAAAAGCCAAATTTGCTTCTAAGGTGCTTTTTGTTTTATTTTTCCCTGGCAGAAAATGACACTTTTGCTCGCAATGGTAACGCTGATATCTGCCTTTGGATCATCTTTCCAGTACGGCTACAACGTCTCTGTGATCAATTCTCCAGCCCCGGTAGGTTGGACTGCGGAGCAGACGGTGACCTGAGAGCGGGTTTACAGATGAAAACAAGGCAGGAGAGTAACAGTAGGTTGTGGATGGGCTTGTGGACAGATGCTTACGCTTCCCTGTGCTTTGTAATCGCTAGATACATGGTGAGACTTCATCCCCCTGGAAAGGAAAGTAAGTGTTTGTGTTAAGGCATATAGCACTCCTGCTTGCACTTTGTGCCCAGCAGAGACCGGGCGTGAGGAGCATCTTCCCTCCTGGAAACCAGGAAAATCCAAAAAGGCCAGATAACTTGTAAACACCTGCTGTCTAGCCCAGGCTTCTCTACCCCTTTCTTGCGTTGATTTTTTTTTTTTTTCCAGCTCAGCTCTCCCGTTTTCATGAAGATATTTGTCTAAAGCTTTATGGCACTTGTTGTTAATTAGCTTTTACAGCATGAAAACTTGCGCTTACTGCTGAGCGTGCTCTGTATCTCGTTCCCAGTACATGCAAGCCTTCTACAACCAAACGTACCTGGAGAGGAATGGAGAACCTATGGACGGTGCCTTCCAGACGCTGCTCTGGTCTCTCACTGTGTCTATGTTCCCGCTGGGAGGTTTCTTTGGGTCGCTCGTGGTGGCACCTCTGGTTAACAGGTGTGGTCGGTAAGTGACGGAGGTGCCGAACGCGTTCCACCCGCAGTTTTCGGGATTCAGATAGGGATCGTCCCTCAGGTCACTCCAGCTCCCCCAAGCCTGTCACGAGCATGACTGTGTCATACCGCCACCATGCTTGTAATGTCTGTGCGCTTTAAAGACAGATGATTAGCGCCAGACTCGGGAATACACGTCGTCTCCCGCGTGCAGAAGAATTGGCCTGCTTTCAGTACGGTCAAGGCTAGGCTGTATGCTGGACATGGATTGCCAGGTGGACAGCAACTGTGGGCACGAACAGTGAAAGTCCTGGGCTGGGATCTGAGTTCGGGCTCTGCCTCTGCTGCTCAGGTTCCCTGAGTAACTTCAGTACTTTCCTGAAGCCTTAGTTCCCTATGAGGTAAATGGGGTAATCACCATTTTCTCCTTAACTCATTGTTTGGAATGGTGATTCCTTTGAAATTTGGACGGCATAGCGCAGAGGGGGTCTATCTGCGATTGGGGCCTTAGAAAATAAAAACTGAACCTATCTCTCCTTATTGCTTTGCAGAAAGGGCACCTTGCTGATAAATAACCTCTTCTCCATTGTTGCTGCAATCCTTATGGGAACCTCAGAGGTAGCAAAAACCTTTGAAGTAATCATCCTTTCACGTGTTATCATGGGAATATATGCTGGTAAGTGAGAGGCTGGGTGGTGAGGGGAAAGCAATAGGATATTCTTCGTTATGTAAAAGGGTTTTTTCACAACAGGAGGTTATACAGGCAGCATATTTTAGCCACGCATCTGCATAACAGTTCGGTACTTGCTTTTGAATAACAATTGTCCTCTGCGTGTTGCAGACTATCAGAGATCTCTGGTAGACAATGGCAGTGAGTTGGAGTCCAAGGTGTGGGGAGGAGACGTGTTTGTGGATGCAGCTATCCTAAGCAATAAATAACACCTCCTAGGCCCTGGAGCTCCATCAGTCAGGAAACCTGCTGATGGTAATCTGTTTTCCCAGGCATCACGAAGTTGATAGCCTGGCTTTTTTTTTTTTTTACGCTAATCAAAAACAGAATAATCCTTCCAAGCTGAAGTCATTGGAGACAATGCCAGATACAGTAATCCCTTCCGGGAGCCGAGTGTTCTTCCTGCGGCAGAAAAGAAATGTTAAAAGTGACAGGGTAGGGTTTAGGGCCTTTGGATTTACTGCAGGGCTAGTGAAGGCTGGGGAGAAGGGTGCATTTGAGTCATTTGGTGCTGTGATTGGTGGCAATGGCTGTATTAGAGCTATCGTAACATGGAATAAACAGCAGCCCAAAATGGACTGGGGCCAGGTACAGAACTGTGTTTGATTGCCTGCAGAGCTACAAAGATAAAGATCCTAACAGCGTTTAGGCTCAATTCACCGGCCTTGCGCTAGTGAGAGTGATGTGCCCCATGGTTTATTAGCAAGTTGGGATGTCCTATAAAGATAAAATGAGAAAACAGGAAACTGCACGGGGAAACACCTTTGTAGTATGCACCAATTGAAATGAGTAAAATAAGGCAGGAAATGTATCTAGTCCCATGGTTTTGCTTGGAATTTTTACTCTCCCAGGCTTGGCAGCTGCTCTTAGCATTGGCTCTCTGAGTAAATACTCATAACTGTGTTGCACGTGTGATCCTTTTCAGTTATTTATAACACCGAGGGAAGGAGCTGGGCTGGCTGTCCTGACTTGCACTTGATAGCTTTGACCCGGCTTGCGCCGTGGGCTTCATACCAGGGAAGGAAGCTACTGACCCACGTGCCCGGTCTGCCCGCTTTAGGCTCTGCTAGGGTGCAAGTTCTGCTTTTTCCTCGCACCAGGGCAGCTCTGGTGGCGGGAGCAGTGCTGAGAGCTCTGCTGTGTGCAGGACTGCTCTGCTACCGGGGTTGTCCAGCATCGGTCTTAACAGTCAGAAAGCTATTGTTATCTTGAATGTGGTAGCCTGCTAGCATACTCTTATTAGGGCAATTAAAAGGCTGGTTGTAGTGCCAACTTAAATCCCTATACCTCCTGAGACTGATTTTTATAATGTTTTCCAGCTGCTTTAATAACTTTCCCCTGCCTTTTGGCCTTCAGATAATAGCTGTGTCTCCGTTATAACCCCAAGCTCCTGAAGGCTAGGAACTTTGTTGGAAATTTAAAGCAAGTCTCATGTGATTGTATGACTACAAGAGTTTGGGTTTTGCTTGCCAAGGTTTCCAGTGTGAGCATGGGAGCTGGCTTTCTCTAGGGTTACTGCAGATAACGATACTCTGTTCCTCACAATAACCAGTGTCTTCAGTGTGCTGTGAGCAGTAGAAACACCTCCTCTAGCATGCGACCCGTAAGAGAAATCTCAAACGGGGAATACTCTCTGTAAAATGTTGTAGAGCAATGGAGCAGTGATTTTTTTTTTTAAAGCAAGGGAGGAGTCCCATCCCTCTGCCCTCGCATCAGCTTGTTTCGTCTTGTTTCAGAGGAAGTAGAAGTTCCTCCCTAACCCTTCGACTGATTCCAGACCTGAAGTAGCACATAACTTTGTTCTGCCTGGCTTGTGTTGTACTTGGCACCCCCTGCTGGGAGAAGGCCACTGGCAGGAAGGTGATGATGGCTGTGAGAGCCCTCAAATCATCTGCCAGCTCTGTAGGGAAGACAGACTCCTGTCAGCCTGCTTGGACTCCTAAAAATATGCTTTGCTGCTGAGCAGCTAACGGGGCAGGATCCTCAAGACACCAGAAGAAGGGACCCAAATAGAGTGGGCTAAACGCATTACTCAGGTCCAGCTTTTTATTGAAAGCTGCGTATGTAGCAACTGTGGTCTTCAGGAGACTGTTCACCTAAGTGGTGACAAGTGGAATGTGGATAATCATAAGCAATCTTCTGGACTTCAGCCGTAAGCAGGTCGCGCTCCCAAGGCCCGCCATGCAAACGTGGTTAGTTTCCAGCTGTATTTCGACTGAAATGGATGGAGGAATACAGGCTCCTTGACTTGAATTCTAGCATAGGAACACCTCTGCAACTAAGACTGAGGGCACCTCTGTGACTTAGTTTAAGGATATCTGTGCATGTAATATTAAAAACCTTGGAAAAGGACAGCATCACTTCTCTACGGGCTACTTGGCTCTAAGGTGGATAGCGGCACAAACTTCTTTTTCATGGCTCCCAGAGAAAGCCAGGTTCCTTGGCCTTTCTGAGGGCACCAGCTGCAGCGATAAATTTCTTACTTTTCCACCTGCTGGCTGAATCAATGCCACATGGTTTTTTTTGTCCCAAATTCTATAAATTCCGTAAAACATAAGCTTCTTCACTGGCCAAAGCAGTCATTGGATGGCATTAGTTCTTCAGCCAGAGCAGAAAGGTTTGTGTGTGAGGCTCCCACGTGTTCCTGTGGTCCACCATGGTTACTTTGGTCTCACATGGAAAAAAGCATCTTGCTGAAGATGGGGTGAGTATGCTGACATCAGGTAGCTGCATGACTAACATCTTTCTCCAACTACTAGGCCTGGCCTCCAACGTGGTTCCCATGTTCCTGGGAGAAATATCCCCCAAAAATCTGAGAGGTGCTATCGGGATAATACCCCAGCTCTTTATCACCGTTGGAATCCTTGTCGCTCAGGTCCTTGGCCTCAACAGCATCCTTGGGAATGCTGAAGGTAAAGCCCTGGCTCTAGGGAGTTTTTCTGCTGGGTCCATTGTGGGAATACGTCTCCCAGTCATCATCTTACCTTATTTGTTGCAGGCTGGACAGTGCTGCTGGGGCTCACTGGGATCCCATCATTAATTCAGCTCCTTATATTGCCCTTTTTCCCTGAGAGTCCCCGATACCTGCTCATACAAAAGGGCAATGAAGAGCAAGCACGGCAAGGTACAGCAGCATCCTTTAGTGGAAGGGGAGGTGAAATGGGATAGATCTGACTGTGGGACATAATTGATGTGCGTGAAATTCTTCACTGGCCTGTTGCTGGCAGACAAGTGTCCTGGCATATTGTTCCTTTCCTGGCTTACATGAATCCCTGACTTCCCATCCTAGAAGCACTGCTGCCCATGACTTACGTCTTCTTCCATCCTATTTTGAAGCAGCAGAACTCACTGTAGAGCTGCTGCTCTCTGGGGTCTCCTAGTTTGCCCTCAGGAGTTCATGACTTGCCTTGTCTCTCCCAACCAGCTCTGCAGAAGTTGAGAGGCTGGGACGATGTGGATGATGAGATAGAAGAAATGCGTGAGGAAGACCGGTCGGAAAAGGAAGAAGGGCGGTTCTCTGTGCTCAGCCTGTGCACCTTCAGAGGCTTGCGATGGCAGCTCATCTCCATCGTTGTCATGATGATGGGTCAGCAGCTCTCTGGGATTAATGCGGTGAGTGGGAATGGGTTAATGCATGTGGGAAAGGCCAGCGGGGTGACAAATGAAGTGGTAGAATTTCGGAGTGGGTGAGGTGGGGGAGTGCTGACTCAGGAGCTAGAACCTAGGACGCAAATGCAACCTGCACCTCATCAGGGATACTGGTTCTGTGTCACATGTAGTGGGTCTGGAATCAAGCTGTCCCGCTAAGCGTAGTTTGGGCATTTTGCAGTAAGGTGCTTGTGCCTGGATCCAAACACCACAGTCCTCAGAAGCGGAAGTATCCAGTTCTCTGGTTTCTATGTGCCAGTTCCACGATGTAAAAGCAGCCAAACATGGTATTCCCATGGTCTGCCTTTGGCCAAGTATAAACACAGCTGTGGTTTTGCTACAGGTCTTCTACTACGCAGACAGAATCTTCTTGTCAGCAGGCGTGGACAAAAATAACGTTCAATACGTCACTGTCTCGATAGGTGCCGTCAACGTCGTCATGACTTTCCTTGCTGTGAGTTTCTGCTGGGGCTCTTGGAGTTCTAACTCATCTGATTTCCCCTGTTGCTCTCTGTTTACAATAGGTTATATTACTTAAGCACACTGTGAGCTGCTTTGCCCAATATACGTGCTGCAGGGTCCCTTGCTGGCAGGCAGCTACGTTAGCTGAAGTGATTAATCTGATGGTGCTGGCTTCTGACAGGCTTCAGAAGTTTAGATTTTCTAGTTTCCAGGTTGATAGGATATGGAAAGAGTCTCTTGCTACCCAGTGTCACCATGCACGGTTTCTGTGCAGTTCTCACTTGGCCTGGGTATTGAAGAAGGGGCTGCTTATCCTCTCTGCTATAGACATAAACCCAGTCTTTTGCAGTTTCTGGGTGGTTTCCTGCCCACAATCTATTAGCAAAGGCCTTTCACACTGGGGAAATTTCACCGACTCTTTTGGAAAACAAAGACTACCTTGATAAGCAGAGTTTGCTGTAACACAAAGTGCTTTGCCCCCAAGTGTCTGGTCTCTCACCCTCTCCTGTCCTTTCCAGGTTTTCATTGTGGAGTCAGTGGGGAGGAGAATCCTTCTCCTTGCTGGCTTTGGATTGTGCTGTCTCTCCTGTGCAGTGTTAACGCTGGCCCTCAATCTCCAGGTGTGTAGCTGGGTGGCTGAGGTGATGCTATCCGTGCATTTCTGGACCTCCTAGGCATAAGGCCATTGGTATATTTTTGAAAGTTGCTTCTACGCTCTTGGAGGGGGTGGCCTCTCTGTACTTGTATATCTACCCAAAGTAAAACCACGAAAAGCTGTGATTCTGCTTGTCTGCTTACTCCCTCTATCACGTTCATAATACCTGTCGCATCCATTTATTGGAAGCGAAGATTACAGCTAAGCCATGATCTTAGTGGCTGAGCGTGTCTACGTCGATATATCTGGCAATGGAGAATCACACTGGCTTTAGAAGGCCCTCAAATCCTACTGCAAATAACGCCTTGAACGTGTGGTGACTTTCAGATAGGAACTGACTCTCACCTGTGACTAAATTCTTCACAGACGGCTCTCTCGTGGATGTCTTACATCAGCATAGTGTGTGTCATTGTTTACATCATTGGACATGCTATCGGAGCCAGTAAGTACACGTGGTCTAGTCCAGTCTCCTCTGCAAGGTGGGTAAAGCCAAGTGTTATGCTGAGCTTCAGATGAATAGTTTGTAGGGCTGGAGACTGAATTTCTTCTGTGTGCCTGTGGACCTTGATGATTATGAGCTAGGCTCGTGTTCCAGTGGTGAGTGGGTTGTGTCCATGAGCAGGGGAGCTAGGGGAGCATCAGGCTTTCAGGAGGAACAGCAAAGGCACAGTTATACTTTTGTCTGAGGGTGCAGTAAGGTCTGGAACAAAACTGTACTCAAACAGTGAGCTCTACCAGCTAGACAGAGATGCTGTGTGCTTGCATCTATAGGAAACAAAGTAGCTCAAATTATGCGCATGGTCCTATAGCTCACTTTGCAGGAAGGAAGGGTGTGGATAGATGCAGATCTTGGAAGGGCTCCATCCTGACTCTGCAGCTGCTCAGACAGTAGAGCTGTCTGTTACCATTAGCTTGGAAAGTCCTGCCAGACCCTTGCTGGATGCAGCAAAGCTGTTCTGACGCTCACACAGAGGTTTCACTGGCAAATGGGATTACGTACAGCCTTTCCTTTTCCATGTATGCAGTCAGGCTGATTCCAGTGCCCTGACGAGGGGCTCAACTGGTGGCAGAATCACAGCCCAGCCAGACTGTGGCCTGTCCCAAAAACCTTACGAGCACGTTGTCCGTGTCTGTGATCACACCAGTGCAGTGTGCCCAGCCTGGCAGTTTGTGCTGGGGGCATTTTCCCAACATTTGCACATTTCAAATCCACTTTTTTTTTTTTGAGAAGCAATGACTTGCTCAGTTGCTTCTTCTAGAGTGTTCTCTGGAGGCACAGTGCGTGTTTGTTTCAGTCTTGTGTTAGTTTGTTATGCTGGAAATAAGATCATGGCTAAAAGACAGCCATAGTAGTGAAGAGTTTGACTGCTGGCTGACTACTGTGTGAGAGGTTAGGCAAGTCATTCAGCTGCCATGTTTTTTTCATCTAATGCCCTATTTGATTTATTGGGTGCTTCTAAAGGATACCAGTTTAGAAACTCTTTTCTGCCACTGGAAATGAACAGTGTCGACCAGGGATTCGGAGCAGGGCCATTGCCTTTGGGATTTCCAGATATATATTTATCTTCCAGGTCCAATTCCCTTTGTGTTGATCACTGAGATGTTCCTGCAGTCATCCCGACCCGCAGCATTCATGGTGGGTGGATCTGTGCACTGGCTGTGCAACTTCACCGTGGGGCTTGTGTTCCTCTATATGGAGGTAAGATGTGACCAGGAGACAAGACGGGACTTTGGCTCAAAATAAGTATCTTCATCCATGTGTTCTTACAGAGAGCCTTTTTAATCCTGAAGGCTGTAAGGGCCCACGTTGGTTCCCAGTACCTGTATGCAGCATTATCCATTAAGGACAAACTGCTGTTAGTTGGCATTTCTCTGATACCTGTCTGTTGCGTGATACTTTAAGCCATTATTTTTCCAGGTACGTGTTTGATTCTGAGTTCAGGAGCATGGAAAAGATTGCAAATTCAGTCTTCCAAGTTGGGGTGGATGCTTGAGGGAGCTATTTTTAGTCTTTGGTCTCTAGGTCACCAGTTCAAACTAATCCCTATTAGTAGTGACCTGTAAATTGCAGCAATTGCTGATTTAGCCTCTGTGAAGGGAGCTGGTAAGTTTAGTTGTATTTTTGTAACAGACCCTCACCCTCATAAACCTCTTTCCCCTGCCCCAGTAAATATCCTCTGTGGTGGTGGCCTTGAAAGACAGAATCTAGAATCACCCTGAACCTCCCACAGTTCAACTTAAAACACATGCAGATTGCTGTGGCTTTTTGTAGCTATTGCAGGGTTCGGCATGTCCAAATGTCACGTAATGTGCACATTGGGAGTACTCCCTTTTGCATTGCCCTGACCTCCGTTCTGTGTCCTTTCATTTCTTTTAGGCTGGACTGGAGGCCTACAGCTTCCTCATTTTCTGTGCCATCTGCCTGGCCACTATGATTTACGTCTTCATTATCGTCCCTGAGACGAAGAACAAAACCTTCATGGAAATCAACAGAATCATGGCCAAGAGAAACAAGGTGGAGATTCAGGCAGAAAAAGAAGAGCTCAAGGATTTCCAGACTGTCCCAGAGGAGCAGGCAGAGAAGAAAGTAGTCTTCAGCAGTCACCTGTGACCCAGTCCAGCATTTGGCCTGTCCCAGGCATGTTCAGGATCTGTTCAGTAGGAGAACAGCTATGTGGCTTGATCTTGACCTTCCTTCAGACTCTTTGCACACTTCTCTTGCAGATGAGTGAGGAGTGATGCCCTTCCTTCATAAGGGAGAAGCAGCAATATGTTTTATTGAGATAAGATAGTGATTTAACAAAGTTCAATTGTAAATAAAACAGTGATTTAACAAGGGTTGATGGCAAGGTTCACCTGTTTGTTTACTGCATGGAAGACCAGATCAGATAAAAGTGTCAAGGAGACCCTCCCGTTGAGTCACGAGGTTCAGAATGGACCTCCTTGCTTTCCAGACTCCTCCTCAGAGGAGTCTAGGTGTGGCTAGATCCAGTCTTAGTCCCAGACTTGGTCAACGGTTTATGCCTAAGGATTATGTGCACAATCAATCAGACGTAACTTCGTAAAGTTGCAACGTTTCGGCATGCTCTTAATCACTTACTGAGGATCTGTGCCAGATAAAGAATCTCTCCACCTCGAGGAGAAACCTTGAGAGGCGTTCCTGCTCAAGGGGAGATTCATGGCCATGCAGCCAGCTGCTGTGCAGGAGAGCTGAATGGGCTCTGGGCCACCCCCTAGTTATGGGATAAGATGATTGACTCGGAGTCATATTTGCATACTAGATGGATTTTAGTTGGTGCATGCTCAGTGAGCCCATGTGCTGTTTACGGAGAGGTCAAGTGGGGTGGAGGGAAGGGGGAGGAAGAGCACAAGGTGGTAGGAGGAAAAGAGGACATCAAGGCAGAGGAGGAGCGCACCATCACAACTTCACACAGCAGGAGTTGCCAGCAAAGTCAGAGCTGTGTCTTGACAGCGTTCTTGTAGTGAATAGCTTCCAGGGCCGCTCTGCTCCATGGCACAGCAACAGTCATGGCAAACTGCACATTCCTGGTGTTTGTGAAACAGCAAGAGTAGGACAGTGTCCTCAGCCAGCTCAGCTCCTGTGACTGAGGAACCTATGTTGCAACATGATGCCTAACTGGCACGTCTTAGGTGGTGCAAGCCAGTGCCTGGGCTTGGTTTTGGTCAGGCACAGAGTGCACTGTATTCCTCTGAGGACCTGCCATTCATGTATTTGAAGGTCCAGCATGAGCGATGCCTTAGCTGCTTGCTGTTCTCTGCGATGGAGAGAATCGGTTGTGCTGAGATGCTTTGTGAGATGGGTTGATAGCAGTGTTTATCCTGTCAACTCTTGTCCTTCTTGTGTATGCTTCACAGGACAGTAAAACTGGGAAGGCGTATCACCGCCACCCTGCTCACCAAACTGTCCTTCAAATCAAACTTAGTCCTTGCCTGTTGCGGAAAGGTCCTCCCAGAGACTTCTCCTTGGGGCTAGGAGTCTCTCTGGATTCTGGCTGAGCCTTATTCACAGTCAGTTTATACCCATTTGTTCTTGACTGCACCCCAGTCTTTGGAAAGGGCTCATTTCCTTCCCTGGTGTTTACATTTCAGTTGACAAAGAGCAACAGTCGCTCTCCTAATGCCTTAATAACCCCCGTATCTCTTCTCTGTATCTGTGACAGCTGGAGCTCATTTTTTTTCCCCCCCAAGAGGTACACAGTCCTGAAGGGTCTAAGATCCTCACTGCTTATGTTGCTGGAGTCAAATTTGGGCTGATTCCAGTGCAATGACTGCAGTTCTGCGGCCTCTTTCTGTGGCCATTGTGTGTTTGTGCCTCTGTTCTGGCGTTCTTATTTTCAGTTGCTTGAAGCTGGAGTTTTCGAAAGAGCCCAGCTGCTTTCAGGTGTCTGAGACCTGTTCCGAACTTTAAAAACAACAAAAAAAAAGTTTTGAAAAAGTCTAGTGGTCCTTGCTGCACTTGAAGGCTGAACCATTTGGGGAAAACTCAGGCTGGAGGATTAGTGACTCTCAGGAGAAAGTACAGTGTGCAGCAGACACTGGAGCATTTCTCACTATTTATTGGTTTAATTTTTTTAGGGTTAATTATTGCATAACTTAACACGGGGAAATTCAATTAAATTAATGTCTGTGCAGAGCTGCTGCCCTCTGTTGGTTGAGGGGAACAAGGCAGGATTGTTCAACCGCCTCGTGTTGACTTTTTGTTGTTGTTGGCAATGGACCTTCGCATGACGTACTTCTGTACCCTCAGAAGGAAATGAGTTTCATACCTGCCCTCAAGCTTCTCTTGTGATGTGCACATGTTCAAAAAGATGCTGCTTCCATGCTCAGGCTCCGTATCCAGTCACAGAAGAGAAGCCATATGCAGGGAACATGGTGAGAAATTGAGACCAGGAAAAGCGGCATGAGAGAGATTTTTCTTGAAAAAATAAAAGGTTCCTTTGACTGAAGAGAGCAGCTCTCTGGTGTGTAGGAGGAAGATCTATGCATGGGAAGTCTCATTTTGTAGAGTCTCAGGTGTGACCTAGAGCAACCTCCTGGCAGAGGTGTGACAGTGCAAGATGTTGGAGCATGCTGAGTTCTGCTCTGTTCTTTCCGTCTGTCACACTGATGGAGGCCTCACCCCCAGCTACCTTCTTGGAAAAAACCCTGGAGCACTAAGGTGTGCAGTGAACCTATACAAAGCAGAAGGAGAGACAAGCAACATCAAAAACAAATGCACGGAACCAGCTTTTCCTTCTCACGTTCCCCAGTATGTCTGTTGGATCCCTTTTTTTTTTTTTTTTTAAGTAAGAAAGGAGAGGGGGATGTCACTGACAGCTGGTGTCAGACTCCAGAACCACTCCCCGCAGGAGCGTCATGGAGCCCTCTCCCCATGCTATGATATCTCCCTTTGATTGCTCTGGTTTGCACAGTGCAAGTGCCCAAACATCTGCAGACCTGAGAACTTGACTCCACAGCGTCACTTGGCTCATCCCAAGTGCAAAGCCATTGGAGAAGATCCCAAGAATGTCTCTGTCTTTCCCAAGGACAAGTGTCCCGCCAGCCTGGGTCACTTACCCTTTCTGGATACTCTTGGCTTTACCCACTTCTCCGTTCAGCCATAAATCTGCCATCCCGGACTGGGAGGCCTATGCCATGCACTAGTGCAGCCAATTTTCTGACTCACGGTGCAGAGGGAAGCTGATGAAATGGCCTCCTATCCACAGCCCCACATGGGCACCCACAGTCACCACCAGCTCCTTGTCCCTCTCCTGCATGGAGTAGGAGAGAACAGTCTGACGGCCCGCCTGCTGGGCTCTGGTCCAAAAGCATAAGGTGGAAAGCATGGAGAGTCATACTGCGCAGGGGCTGAATGTTCACACAACTCAAATGTTTTCCCCAGGGAAGTAGAAAGCTGGGAAAGGGCTAGATTTAACACCTGAAAGAACCAAAAAGAGTCAGCTGTTACAGTGCCTCCCATGTCTATAAATCAGACCAAGTCCTGCAGACTCCACCCATGGCAACGGGCAGGGCTGTGGCAGTCTTAGCTGATTTAGCTGCAACTACTGGCATCTGCCGTGTCAACAATGAATGAGCTTGAAATAATAAAAAATTTAGCTCCCTTGCCTATTTGCTTTGGGAACATTGTGTTTTTTCCCTCCCTCTGTTCTCGCCCTGTGTAAAATGGAGACGACAATTTGCCCTAGGGGAACTGGGAGCTTAAATTCCTGACTGCTAAGCTGCAGTGCGTGTGAGAGTAGCTAGTTTTGCGCTAGACCTAATGATAACGTGGCTTATGAAAATTCTCCGTCTGGCCCAGATTTGGGACCACGTTCTACCTGCATGTAGCGGTACCAAAACCGTTAAGCGCTTAGGGCAGCAGGGCATGGGCTCTTCATCCTTGGAAGGGGTGGGAGGTAACCGGGAGTTTAACCTATAACCCCATAGATGCATGTTGCTTATCAATCTGGCTCCCTCTGTTGAGGAACTCTTTCTTCATGTCCTGGAGCTGCATCTGGATTTGCTCCGGTCAGAGGCTGAACTCCTCTGGAGAACATTGATCTAGAGCAAGCAGACAGCTGCATTTACTGAAGGCCAGGACCTGCGCGCGGTAGGGTTTCTGTTTTCTAGTTTGTAGAAGATTGGGGGAACATCTTTGTTTTAAAATGGGGTGTCTCACCGCTATACGGTGCCTGGCTAGTAAGCCCTGCCAGAGCTGTTTCTGCAGTGGATAGGATACCTCAGCTGTATGAACACAGACAGGCTTGAACCTCCTATTTCCGCGTGGCGTCACGCAGCAGCGCTTATCCCGGGATGGCTGCGTGACGCACCGCGGCGGCAGAAACCGGGGTTTGGTGCACAGCTTAAAACCACCGCTGCATCATAAGATGCCAGATGCGTTGGCAGGGGGCAAGGGGGCACACGGGCCATCTCCGCCTGCTGTGCGGGGACACCGCTGCTCCTGGGGATGACGGTCTTGGGCATCCTACCTTAAGCAATTTCTAGCTTGACCCCTTCCAGACAAGTTTCCTGTTCCCTGGCGAAGGCGAGTCCTGCCTGCTGACTCCCTTTACCTAGGGCGAGTTTGGCTCTGAAGGAGGCCTCCACCACGCGGTCGTGGAGGGGCTGAGCGTGTCAGTTCCTCAGGGTCCGCTTTTGCCAGTCCGGCAAGGTGTTCTCCAGGAGGCCGATCTGTGAGTAGCGCAGCCTTATTACAGAGGGCTCTTATCAGCTAATTGACGATGAAGGCGTTTTGCCTGAAGGACGTTATTTTAACGCCTGCCTGGTAGCGTGCGCGATGGAGCTTTAGCAATTATTCTGTAGCGTACTGCTTCCCCAAAGTGCTTCCTAGCTTTCCCCCTGCCACCGAAATGAATGTTTCTTTATGTCAAACGTAAAGGCGCTGTGATCCTCCGCTACCGTGACCTCCTCTCGGTCTAGTTTTTCGCCTGGAACGAGGGCTAACTGATGCTTCTGCTTCGTTAAGGAAGGTGATCCACCCTGCAAGGCTCGTTGGTAAGCTTCTTTCGCTGGCGTTACTTTGTTCCCCGCTAAAGCCCTCTTGCTGACAAGGCAGACAGAGAGAGAGCAGAGACGGGGACCCTGCCGCGCGACAGTACGCCGCTGCTGGCACAACCGCGGTCGCTCCGCAGCGCTCCGACGCGCCGGGGCCTTGCACCCAACAAGGTCCTCTCTCGTGCCCCTGCCCTGCTCGCCCGTCACGCGGCTAAAATTCGTATCAGGCCGCTACTGAAACGAGATATTCCAGCTGCGCAAGGCAGGCGTAGACCAGAAAAGAGATACTTTCCCCAAAAGTGCTATTTATTCTGCAATTATTTTAATCCTATGAACATCTATGAACCTCACAGACGAACATCACCTATGAACAATCCTACGACCATCTCCCTTTTT